TTGGACGGTCTAGCCTTCAGAATTATGTCATGAGCTCTCTTGGTGGAGTGAAACTCTGCTGTCTGCTCCTTGCGATCTAAAGTATAACCTGACGCTGGCGTAAATTCTCAACCATCTTGGACTTCTGTTTAATCAGTTCTCTGTTTGACGTTTACTCAGCTGTGTGAAAACCCTGGAGCAACCCTCCGAGGGATTAATAAAGTTTTATTTAATCTAATTTAATCTAATAACTTTAATCTCAGCCAAACTGATTTAGTCATGAACACATAAAACAATAACATGTTTAAGTTATTTAAGTGACTTATATATCATGTTTAACCTGAGTAGCGAAAGACCGCGGGGGTTTGAAAACGATGTGCCGGGAGTTTGCTGTTCTCCCCGGCTCAGATATTTGAAGTTTACACAGCTACATTCTCGCCTGAAAATATGTTAAAAGTTTATTTTGTGACCCACAAAGAGTAATAAGAGTAATATTAAAACTAAGTAGCTGCACCAGTAGTAGCCATTGTTGGAAACTGGAATTGCCTGAGCCAATCTGGGATATGGTTTTTCAATTTTGTTGTCCGAGTGGAAAATCGGGAGAAATTCGGGAGAATGGTGGCTCCAGGAGATTTTCGGGAGGGGCACTGAAATTGTTCGTAGAGATTATGGTCGTTGAGGTATGAGTGAAGCTGGAAGGCAAAAACTTTCTCAAGGATTTTCGAAATAAAGGCGAGGTTTGATATAGGGTGGAGATTATCAGAGTTATTGGGATCTGAACCAGGCTTTTTGAGAATTGGAGCGACAGAAGCAGTTTTCAGGGGTGGAGGAATAATTCCAGTGTTAAGGGAAGCGTGGATAATACTATGAGAGGAGCCAATGAGGGAAGACAAGCTTTAACTAATACAGTGGGAAGAGGGTCGAGCTGACAAGTGGATGATTTTGATTTTTGAATAAGATTTAATACATCAGCTATGGAGGGAAGAGTAAAACTTGAAAATAACTGGGAGGAAGACAGTGAGGAAAACAAAGTCTACTTCACAGTTTGTTTTCGCTGCTCTTGCGGCGACCAGCAGGTTGTCTCTGTCTGTCAGTGTCAGTGTTTTAACTTATTTAATTTCATTCTTGAGTTATGTTTTTATTTTTTTGAGCATGAGGAAATCCTACAGCATCCGCTTGTGCTTTGTGGAACTTCTTTTAACGAAGATGGGGTTTTTATTTCGCATGTTTTTATTGGCAATCCTGACTGTTGTTTGGAGTCATTGCTACTGACAAACAGTTACATACTCACGGGAGTTTCTTCTGGATCTTCGGTGGAAAGGCCCGTCTCTGGACTCTTTTCACCCTCCAGTGTTTTCCAGCTCTGGATTATCTGGTAACCACAGGGGCACTCTTGTTTTTAACAGAGTCAAAGCAAGGAAGCGGGGTAAGAAGGGAGGCCTACGTCAGCGATTGAGGAAGAAAATACGATACACTTTACTCCTCACTGAGGAGTAAATTGGATGAACTGCATTTGAATGTCGCACATTTACGGGACTACAGAGATACATGTCTAATGGCATTCACAGGGATTCTGACCTTGATTCTTCTCTGGAATTAAAGGGTTTCGGGTTTCCCATACATCTGGATCGAGACCCCGGAGCCACCCAGAAATCTCAAGGAGGAGGGGTGTGTTTGTATATAAATCAGAAATGGTGTAAAAACGTTACTGTTCGTAAACAAGTGTGTCTGCCTGACATTGAGTTCCTCTCTGTGTCTTTGAGGCCGTTTTATCTGCCGAGGGAATTCCCACAGATTAACGTCACCGTCGTTTACATCCATTCTAAAGCGAATCCTAAGAATGCGACTGGCACCATCTCCAACGTCATCCACTCACTACAATCTCTCTCCTGAGGCCCCTAATATTGTTCTTGGGGACTTTAATCGCTGCGATGTGAAGAAAACACTGAGCAGTTTTTATCAGTATGTGAACTGTCCCACGCGCTTCAATAAGACTCTGGATCTATGTTACAGTTCCATAAAAGGTGCGACCAGAGTGGTCGGTGTTTACAGAATCATGTAGAGACATTAATGAACTCACTGACGTTGTCTGCAGCTATATCTCCTTTTGCAGAGACATGATTATCCCTTCAAAGGTTTTGCATTTTTCCCTAATAACAAACCATGGTCTTCAAAAGCCCTTATGAGGCTGATTCATGAAAGGAAAAAAGCTTTTATTGAAGGGAATATCTTGAAAGTAAGAGAAATTAGGAAGGAGATCAGATCAGAAATTAAAAAAGCAAAAAATAAAATACAAGGGTAAGGTAGAGGCGGAGATGGGTAGCAATAACTTAAGGGTTGCCTGGGCAGGTATGAAACACATGACTGGTCACTGTTACAGTGACTGTAATAAGATAAGTCTCCCTGGTTTTAGTTCAGACTCTCAGTTAGCCAATGAGCTGAATAGATTTTATTTGAGATTCATTGATAATTATAATTTTAGGAATACACTTGATTTCTTAATAGAGAGCACCAGAGCCCCCCTCCCCCCGCTTTGTTCTTTGATGAAAGAAGGGTGGAAAATCTTTTTAAAATGAGTAAGACTAATAAAAGTCCAGGTCCTTAAGTATATGTGACCAGGTTCTTGGAACATGCACTGAGCAATTATGCAGTATTTTTTTATTACATCTTTCTTTTATCACTTCAGCAGCAGAAGGTTCCAGAGGTATGGGAAAAATCAATTATTTCTCCAGTTGCTAAGACCACAAAACCTACATCATTAAATGATTTTAGGCCTCCTAAAGTCCTTTGAAAAACTTGTCAGGAAGGAGATCCTGCAGCAAGTAGAAAATCTTATAGACCCACTACAATTTGCATACAGGCCTCGTAGAGGTGTTGATGATGCAGTGGTCACTCTGTTGAATTTCCTTTATTGCCATCTCGATGGTGCTAAAGCTCATACTCGGCTTTTATTTATCGATTTTTCTTCAGCTTTTAATACTATCCAGCCACATCTTTTAGTTGATAAACTTCTTAACCAGTTTAAACTTGATTTAAACTGGTTGGTTGGATTTGAGACTTTTTAACTGACAGATCTCAGTGTGTGAACCGCTGTTTTTCCAAACAACTGAACTCTTCTACTGGCTCACCACAAGGTTGTTGTCTCTCTCCTCTACTGTATATTTTGTACACTAAAGACTGTCGCAGTACACAGGCCAACAGGCATTTCATTAAATATGCAGATGACACAGTCATTGTAAGCCTCCTTCATGGTGAAGAGGATTCCCATGGGCCTGTTGTGGATGAGTTTGTTTCGTGGTGTAATCAGTCCTTCTTAATGATCAACACCTTGAAAACCAAGGACATGGTTATTGACTTCAGGAAGACATCCCCACATCCTGCGCTAACAGTGGTAAATGGTGCAGCGATTGAACTGGTGGACAGTTATAAGTATTTGTGGGCTGTTCTTGATACGGTTCTGTCCTTTTAGTCACATCTTGCTTCTACAGTGAAAAAGGTTCAACAAAGACTGTACATTTTAAGGAGTTGAGAGGTTTTAATGTTTCATCTGAAATGATGACTCGTTTTTTATAAAAGTTTTATTGAATCTGTTTTAACCTTCTGTATCATTGCCTGGTATGGTAATATGTCCTTGAATAATAAGACCAGATTTAGCAACCTGGTTAAAGTGTCTGGTCAGATTTCAGGTCCAGCTTGTGAAATTTTCTAACAGGCAGGTGCTGAGGAAGGCAACCTCTGTCTTGTTGTGTTCAGATCATCCTCTCTTTAATGATTTTCAACTGCTTCCTTCAGGTCGTCGTTGTAAAGTGCCTGCAGTGAAGACATAGATTGTCTTTTCTACCTACTGCTATTATCATGGTTAATAACACTAAACCATAAGTGTTGTTGCCATTGCACATTGCACATTGCACTTTCTTTAATGATAAAATTTAGGTTGTTTTCTCAGGGCTTATATTGTTTTTTGTGTGTATGTGATGTGTTTGTTTGTTTTTTATATTTCTGTATGGACATACTGCAAATCAATTTCCCGTTAGGGACAATAAAGTTACTATTGACCACTGACATTGACCATTGACAGTTAGATGCTCCTACCGAGTTAAGTTGGCGGATATCAGCGATTTTATCAGTGAAAAAAGATATAAGAGAGTTGCAAAAGTCAGCAGAGTTCATATGAGAGGAGAATGAGTCCGGAGGTTTTGTAATTTTACTAAACAATGAAAAGAGACCTGGAGTTACCTTCACTAGAACTGATTAAACCAGAATAGTATGCAGATTTGGCTGAAGCAATGCAATCCTTATGCAACAAGATATGATTGTTATACATTTCTTGTATCGTAAGTCCGGTTTTCTTGAACAGACGTTCCAGTTGGCGTCCTTTAGCTTTGAGATGGCGCAGGTTAAGAGTAAACCATGGTGCTGAACAGGAAAATGAGACAGTTGGTGTTTAAGTGGAGCAAATGTGTTAAGAAGGTTATGGAGGTTGACATTATAGTGAGAAACAAGTTCATCTGGGGATCAGGAGCTGTGAATAAATGGAAGGTCATAAATGGCAGATGAAAGATCAGCAGGGTTAATATTACTAATTAAAGTGAAATAAAAATTCAACAATCTGATCAACTTTATATGTTATATCTACTTATGTCTGCTCATAGATCAGGTCTTCCCTGCCCATGAAACTGCTTATTAGTCAATGGTCTAATAATTTTTGAGCACTTGAACACAGCTCGAAAATCTGTCATTTCTAATCTGTAACCTGTAATTCTTAAGCTTTTAATGCAAAGTTTTGGAATTAATGCTAAAAATCTGCACTTCAGTCACATTGCAATTGTTTGACTTGAAGCATTTGATGGTGTGCAGAGGCAGAACTACAAGAACTGTGTCTTTGTCCAGCAAGTATATTTTTGTTTTGATGATGGTCTGACCATATGTAATATTTCTGTTTACTCACCTGTGCTGTGAAAGTATTAGTGCTGCTAACTGAGACTCTATAATGTTTGGTAATTACTGTCTTTCCTTGTTAGGCTGTCCAACAGTTTGGGACAACCTTCAGTGCTGGTATCATGCTGAGGTGGGACAGGTGGTCAATATCTCGTGCGCCTCTGGCATCTGGCAGCTGTTGCCTAATAACCAAGGTAAGTCCATTTCACCTCAAATTGAATGATTAGTTTTCTTTGGTTTAATTGGCTAATTTAAATAATTGCTACTGTACCAAAATTTGACATTTTGAGGATGCTTGGCTGTGTTTTTTTAATGCTCTAAAAACAATGTTCTTATGTTAGGGATCCTAACTTGATATAAACTGCAAGGAACTGCAGCAGAACCATCAGCGTTGGTTGAGGCAGGGCAACAAAGTGATTAATAATGCTGCCAACAGTCATGGCGATCTTTTTATCCTCCTGCTTCTGTCTGTATAGTGTTTTCCTCCTTGATGTTATCTGTGTGTGTGTGTGTGCGTGTGTGTGTGTGCGTGTGTGTGCCAACTCAACAAAAGAATGTTGTTGTTTTTTTTAGATGCCACTAAAAGGAAGATTTGAACCTAAAAACCATTTGCATTTGTCCATTTTCACTTCAGAGCTCAGCAACTGACTGTGGTATATTTAGAGATCTTTGAGCACCAATGTTTTGTTTTCACTGAGTGGTTTACAAAAACTACATTTTTCTAGACTGCACACTGTAGAGACTAGTGCTGTCCTGACTGTTTACACGACCCTCACCTTTTCCAGAACTCTGACTCATCCAGCTGGCTGGTTTAAAGAAAACATAATAGACTCTCTCCAGTCTCTCATAACAACAAATCACTGACAGATAGATACAGACACAACTAAGAATAAAAAAAAAAAAACATGCATTTCTGGATATCTGAAAGATAAACAATGACAAAGAAGATATCAGTATTTAGACATGAGATGTAAAAATAAGCCACTGAAACAAAATGTAATGTCTTTACTAAATGTCTTTTACAACCCTTGCCTAGACCTAGACACAACATAGGTGTGACTCCCCACTCCTGCTACTCCCAAGAAAATGGGACTGGACTCTCACACACATCACATCACCACACGCACTCTGGTTTTTCTTCATGCACACTTCCTATAATTAATATCTCTTTCTGCTATTTGCACATTTTTTACTGTAAATTTCTAAGTTAAATCTGTAAATTTTGTATAACCTATAAATTGCAAATACTGTAAAACCACTGTCATTTAATGGTCGGGCATTGCATTGCACAGCTACAAGCATTTCACCTCATGTCATACTGTGTATGGTTGTGTGTGTGACAAATAAAATTTGAATTTGAATTTGAAGCAACACACACTCAAAGCTGGTAAACAGCTGGCTCTTTACTGGGTACAGAGGAGAAAAGGGGAGTGGTGAGGTGAGTTGGAGGTTAAGAGGCCATCCGATAATCCCTGGAACTTCTCCAGTCTCCACCTGTCTCAACAGCTACCGCACACCACACACACACCTAGGAGGGAAACCTGCACACACCCACACACACTCTTATGGCAGGAACCATGGAAACAGACATGGGACATGATCATGGATCGTAACAATGTATAAACTTGCAGTTTACTTTGAAAACAGTGTACATTAGATAAGCAACTTTTCTAATGCACTCCCAGAAGCTTCTCCACATTGCTGTAAAATTCTTACAGAAGTGCAAAAGGAAGAAATCTTACAAGCAAGAGCAACTAAATTTGAATCACATTTTTTGTTATTTTACCTGTTTTCTTTTTTTCTTTTTTAGCAGAAGAATCTACTGTCTTCTGTGGAACCAGTTCCCAGTTTAGATTTAGGGGACAGAAATTTACAGGATTAGGTTTAAAATATGGTGACCCTGAACCCCCCGTAGTTACACTGCAACTGACCTAAACAACTGGGGATTTCCATGATGTACTGAGTGTGTCTTCTTCCCTCTCTGTGTTTATACATCACTTGGAATTTAATCATTATTAATAATCCTCTGGCTCTCTCCAATGTGTGTTGTCTCACTTCCTTCACCCACCAAGTGGTCACGGCAGATTCCTCCCTCCCTGAGACTGGTTCTGCTGAAGGTTTCTTCCTATTAAAAGGAGATTTTTCCTTTTCACTGTTACCAAGTGCTTGCTCACACGGGGTCGTCTGATTGCTGGAGCTTTCGCTCTGTTGTTGTAGGGTGTCCATACTATAAGAGTTGAGTTGTGCCTATATTGAATGTAATTAAAGGTATGAAACTTTCATATGAACTGATCAAATAGCTCTAAGATCACTGGCTGACTGAGTGCCTGCCCTTTTGTTGTGTCAGCTGTTTTGCTAAATTGTTGCTAAACAGAATAAGTAGTTGCAGCAGAGAACATGCACAGTAAGTGAGAGGCTGTGTGTAGAAAAGATTTACTTGACTAATTTCCAGTCTTGAATAAAACACTGCTTAAATGAAAAAAAGAAAAAGGAAAAAATGCAGAGTGAAAGTGTATACTTTGCGTGGAGGGATCAGGAGGCGGAGGTAGCTGCTGATGACCTCATAACTCAGTGTTAGTGGGTTCTCGGACCCCACTGGATTTCCTCCTCCACAGACAGTACCGATAAGTCCAGCTCTGTAACTGTGCAGGTGATCCAGGCTTTTCAGTGGGAGAATATAATGAATTGGAAAATCAAAGAGTTCACTGTATAAGCCTTCCTTCAGGAATGAGTTGGCGCTGCTCGATAGGAATAGCATTGTGAGCTCTAATGCCCTCCCTGGAGCCTTGGCCTTCAACCTCCATTCACATCCTGCCATTTGCCGCAGCTGCAGGCCTGCAGGCTCTAAATGCCACTTTATACTGAGGCTAATACAGCTGGATAACGCTAAATCCACCCACGACTCAAACCCACACTCTCCTCGCTTAAGCGTCGGACAGGCATTTTCAAATAGTGAAACAGATTTTTTTTTTTTAAGTGTAAACTTTGTATCCTCCTCTCACAAACACAAACTTGCACCATATACCTGGTGACCTTGTGTGCATCATTTATTCCATAAGGGTCACTGTGGCTGAGCTCCACTATTCTAACTCCAGGCAATGGTGGGAGAACATTGCTTTGAATTCAGCTAATTCAAATCCAGCATTTGCACCCTTCACCTGCATCATCTCCATTAATACTTACAGTTATCTAATAAAAACGTTTCTAATATTATGTTTTTGTTGTAACCTTGGATTCACAGGCAGCAAGTGACAGTTTATAGAAATCAACTAAAATGTTGCTCGCTGTGCAGACTTATGGAATGGGCTATTTTTATGCCCTAAAATGACAAAATCATTAAAATACAGCTTACAAGTACAATTTTATGTTTAAAGCTTGTGTAAAGTGTAAACAAAGCAGCCAAAGTAGCCTAGGCCCATTGCAATGTATTGAAGGGAGGATTTAGGGTCACTTTAGGGCCACTTCCAACCCTAACTATATGCTTATCAAAAGCATATAGTTAGGGTTGGAAGCAATGTGCCCTCTAAGCTGCGCGCGTGCGCAATTGCGCACTGCTGGAATGGTCTCTGCACACAGAAAATCTGTGTTGTGCACAAAGAAATCTAACCTGAACTGAAATTAAAATAAATACGTTAACAATTCTGTTTTGCAGTGTTATTCAGTGAGTGACTGGCTGCTCCTGTATGGGATTAGAACGATGCCACCTTATCCCATAGTCCAGCCAATGATGCGATTCACATTCTTATATACGCACCTAATCAATGTCGTTGACAGGTTATGACAGCGTCCTTGTGTGCCGGTACCACTGTAATTTGATTATTTTAATAAACCATGTAACTTGGATGGATTCGATGCTGGCGTGACCACAGTGCACACGTCTGCTGTTGCTCACAGTGGTTCAAGGGACCGCTCAGGGAGTTTGTGTGTTCGCTCAGACACATGAAAAATTAGAGGGAACATTGGTTGGAAGTGGAAGTAATCTTGAAAGTAGTCTCACTAATCCAAACTGGGAGCTGGTTCCACAGAAGAGGTGAAAGCTGATGGCTCTGCTCCCATTCTACTTTAAATATCCTAGGAACCACAAGTAAGCCTGCAGTCTGAGGACGAAGTGCTCTATTGGAGTGATATCAGGCCATTTCCTATGGCCTGATCTAAGCGCTGTATTAAATTATTACAATCAACAGTATCAAACACAACACTGAGATGACAATCACAGAGATGACTCCACTGTTGGGGCCATAAGATCATTTGTAACCTTCACTAATGCTTTTTTTTGTGCTGTGATGAGCTCTGAAACCTGAGTAAAACTCTTCAAATCAACCATTTTTCTGTAATTGATCAGTTAGCTGCTTTATAACTTCTCTTTAAAGAATTTTTGCGATAAAAGGTAGGTTTGAGATTGTCCAATAATTAGCTAAGACAGATGGATGGAGTGATACCTTTTTAAGGAATGGTTTTATCATTGCCTTTAGTACTTATACCATTATTAGCTTAAATGTCTTTGGCAAGTAACCCAATAATAGAGACAGGAATGCTTGGCTCAGCAGAGTTTTGACTTTGTGTCAGCCTGGCTACAGTGAAGAAGTAGCCATCGATCATATTTAATCTCTGTATAGTTAATATTTCTTTTTACATGCACTTTGTAGACCCTTTTTTAAAATCCATGGACAGTCAGTATATATATGTTTTTTTTTACTATACTGCTTTATTGGCAATTTATATTAAACAATAAGGCAAATAATCTACCATATTTTCTGGACTACAAAGCGCACCTGAATATTAGCCGCACAAGCTAAAATCAAGAGAAAATCCTGTTTTGTACATACATTAGCCGCACCTGACTAAAAGCCGCAGGTGTTTCAATGTTGACTTATCATATGTAAGAGAATATGCAAAAGGAATATGCAAGGGAATTGTCAGGAAAGAGATGGCCGTTTGGAGACACATCCCTTTTATTAATATTTTGAAAAACAAGTTATGGGTACATATTTGCATAACTTTTTAGGTATACGTACAAGTACCGGTAATTACAAGTACGAAACATGTACTGTGCTTCATAAACGAGTAACAAATGTAGTATATAACAATAACCTACAGCACACCAGAAGAATAGATTCGGACTACCTTTTAGGCTCAGGTGCAGTGACACGGCTTTAACAAGAAGAAAAGTCAGTCATTCACCATTATCTTTCTCTTCTTCGTGCGCACTAAAACCACTAAAGTCCTCTTCTCCAGTGTTGGAAACGAACAGGCTCAGGGTGGCTTCGTCATCCACTCTTAGCTCCTTTCCTTTGTTGTCACTTTCAAAACCAAACAAATCCTCGTTGTCAGTGTCAGAGTCGAACACCCTCTGAAGGGCCGTGGCGGTGTCCTCCTCTCCACCATGCAACAGTCCAGCCCTTCAAAATCCGTTGGTGATCATGGATGTTTTCACACTTTTCCACGCTGTCAGAATTCACTGGTGGAGTTGGGCATAAGTTGCTTTTCGCAAGTTTATCGCCGTTCGTCATCCACGCCTCCCGCTGAACACGTAGCACTACTTTGAAGTTTGTTTTTCGCGCTACTTCGTACGGCACTACGTTGCCTGGCGGACGGACATGTGACCAACATACCACTCTTGAACCCCGATACTGTGTATCTGATCACATTCCCTTCCGCCAGGCAACGTAGTGCCGTACAACAGCGGAACAAACAAAACAAATCCTCTTATGATATCACAAAAATCATGGACAATCCTTAGAAAAGCCGCACCTGACTAAAAGCCGCAGGGTTCAAAGCTTGTGCAAAAAGTAGCGGCTTATAGCCCGACAATTACGGTAATCAATCTGTCATATACATAATTAATATCCTGGTTCTCATATTTAACCTTAGTTCTGTTAAAAAGCAGTTAAAGGAAATTACTGAGGACTCATCTGTATTCTTCATTTTCTTTTCATTTACTTATGCTTTTAGTTCCTATCATAAACTGCAAAAACTGGACAATGGTCACTGATATTATTTATTAATAATCAACCTATTTACTTTATTTTCAGTATCATTTGAAAATATATTGTCTATAAGAATGCCATAATATGATGTGATTCTAGAACTTCTAATGATTTCAGGTTACAGGCTCTTATATATTATAGGCTCTGTCATTTTATGTTTATTTGGGTTTAACATTTTAATTTTTAAAATTTACACAAATTAAATTTTTTGGCATTTTCCTGTGAACTTTTCCTGCATCCAGTCTTTACAGTCTTTGTAGATTTCAACTGTTATGCATTCCAGCACATTATTAGTCAGTGTCATCACCAGAGGTTACTGTAATCCAATTACTTTTTTCAAGTAATGAGTAAAGGATTACTATTGCAAAAAAGGTAATTAGATTACTGTTACTTTCCCGTAAGCATGCTGCGTTACTGTGTTACTAAAACCGTGATTAATTGCGAGAGTGTCTCATGACAATGAGGTAAGCGAGTGTGACATTCGTGGCAACAGCTGTGTGCAGATCAACAATGGATAATATATTGAGTGCGGAAGAGCATATGATCATGCAGCGTTTAAAGCGTGGAAGTACTGACCTTACTTTGAGTTTGATTCCGTAAAAAGTGACAACATTAGCGTCCGCTGCTCACTGCGTGGGAAGAAAACTTCTTTTTACAGCGAAAAAAAACCCTTAACTTCTGAGCAAGCACCAAGTACGCTACCAGGGAATGGGAAACTCACAGACAAACCCGCAGATTCTTCCACTGACCACTGCGGCACACCTGCACCAGGGTAAACCTCCGCCTACCCAACTCCTGCTTTACAGGTGAAAATAGAACAACAGGACCGCTAGTCTTTGATTTTATTTATTTTCTGCTGTGTTTTACTTGCATTTATTTGAAAGACTGAGTGTAAACACCAAAAACCTATTTTATTTTATGTGCAGAAAATAGGTTTAAATGTTAAACAAATTTCTTCCAGTCAGTGAATGTTGCATATAATTGAATTTTTGCTTGATGCATAAAGTTAAAAGATTAAAACTAATAAAACAAGTTTTAAAACGAGACTTTTCCATTTGATTACATTTTGTATGATGGATTATGCAGAAAAAGTAGAATTGGGCTGAAAGATCTATCGCTTTATTACCTATTCAGGTTGTAAATCGTGTTTTTTAAAAATAACTAAGTAACTAAACTTATTTGCTTTGAAAATAAGTAATCAGTAAAGTAATGGGATTACTTTTTTGGGGAAGTAATAAGTAATTAGTTATCAATTACTTTTTTCAAGTAACTTGACCAACACTGGTCATCACATTATCCAGTCCCTTAAACTTTAAATATTTGTCCACACAAGGCCACTCCTCAGCCACCAAAGAAGCAGCATCACACTTTGATCCAGTAGCAGTCCTTGTGAAAGAAGTCACATACTGTTTAAATTCTATTCATGTGTACACATGGTTACAAAGAAAAAACAAAACATAAATACCTGACTCTATCCACAGAATCCCAAAAGACTGAAGGCGCTACACAAAAGGCTGATTCTGCTCCAAAATGACTGCAAGCATAATAGGCAGTTTCTCACATGGATCAACGTGTGACATAGAATGTTATGTATGAATCCTGAATAGCTGACTTTGATTGTCAGTAGAGAAACATTGAACTGGAATTGCATGATTTAGAACTGACTTACTGTGGCAAGTGACCAGGGAATCAGCTTCAAATACATATATATCTAATTCAGCAGCCTGATGTTCACAGCTCTAGAAATGTAAGTGACATATCATAACCCATAATATTTGTGGTATGGTGTTCTGCTGGGTAGAATTATATTGTGTAAACTGGTGAATCAATAAAAGCTTGGTAAATGGCAAGACAGCAGTGCAATGGTTAGCACTCTCACCTCACCTTACAGCAAGAAGATCCTGAGTTTGAATCTTCTGACTAGTTAGGTAGATGCTTTCTATATGGAATTTGTAATTCCGCTTTAGCTGTGAAACACACAGCTGTTTAAATGTATTGACATTTTAAATTTCAGTTAAGGAAAAGTTGCAAAACTAGTTGCATATGCTGTCAGTTATAAATTTTAGAAAGAAAATATGAAGTGGTACAACAACTGAAATGGAAGACAAAAAAATTTCAAATGGTGAACGTGTAATTTTTAGTAGCAGCAGTAGTTATGTACTGTATCTGTGGTAATATTATCAGCGTTTACACGTGGTTGTCATGTGCCTGCTGTATTTTCACACTATTAACAGGAAGATGGAGTAATCCACTGAATCTTAAGAGCTGTGGTGCAGTATCTCTTCTGATAAACTCTCAGAATATTTGTGCTCATGTGGATTCCTGTGTTTATAAGGAGGTGCTGGTGTATAAGAGTGATGGATGAATGTTTTCTTATTGTGCATCTGTGTCCCAGTTTTTAAAATGCACGTGCCGATGCACACAGCAAAGGATATAACCCTAATCCCGGTCCATTTACACTTTTTTCCATTTGCTTTTTGGTTGGCAAATGGAAGAAAGGGGGTTGGTTGCTGGTAATTTGCACAGCAGCACTGTGCAAAAGTCTTGAGTCAAAGAACACCCCCATCCAGCTATATTGGAATTTTTTTTCCAGTTTATCAATCTAAAGTGAATTCACTGTTTGAGTTTTGCTCTTCAACTCCCAAGAATAACACCTGGCACAATAACCTTTTTGCCTTTTTGTTCACATGGACTTTTTGTGTACATGGACAATTGTTTAAATAAATAAACAAATAAAAAGAAATTTTAAATGAATTTCCTAATGCATATTTTATTGCACAATTCATTATTGAAGCACAACATTCTTCATTTGCATGCATGTGGCACTTCTGGTCCTCCATACTGGACACAGGAATGCAGACTTGAAACAGAGAACACAGAAGGGCACGGAAAAAAAACCTTGGGGAATAAGTGATAAGTTGAACTTCAAAAAGAAAACATAATCTGGATATAACATCACAGAAAACTAAAAAATAGAAACTATAGCTAGAATATGTAAATAAAGAACAGACTATGCAGAAAATATAACAATGAGCAAAACTAAAATACTAAACTCAGTCATTTTTTCATTTGTTACGCCACTTAGGACTGACATGTGAATGACTGAAAAAATAAGAAAAGACCCTACTTAAAAGGGCTGAATGAGACTTCTGTCTGTACATAACAAGCAAATTTGAAACACCACAGTTTGGTGGTATTTCCCTTGGCAGAAACCGCTGAGTTTCATGTATTTTTGTTGTTGTTGTAGGTTATATCTATAGGAACTGCACTGAGAAAGGATGGTCGGACTTCTACCCATCCTATGAAGAGGCCTGTAAGATTCCAGAGGATGAAGAAATCGAACCAGAGGTAAACATTGCTCATTCTCACTTAGAGATCCAAGACTATTTGCTGGATTTTTTTTTCTACTGATATTAAAAGAATTCATTGTGATAAAAATATTAAAGTTTTTTTTAATGATCTCAGCACCCTGCACATTTTTCAGCTACAGCCTTGCAGAAGACCATCTGGGTCGGTATATATTGTGATTTATTTACTATGTTTTGTTTGTTTTCATTTTATTTTAGTTTGCTATGTTGATTCCAGAGGTGGCAAAAGTGCAGATATTCTTTACTTGTGTACAGAACCTATAAAAATACTATGGTAAACGTTTAAGTACCGAATCAACTTTTTTTACTCAAGTGAGAATGAAGTGGTGCAAGCTCTGAAATGTACTCAGAGAAATAAAGTTAAAAGTAGCTCCTTGAAAAATAATTCTACCAGATATTTTTGTACAAAGGGTAACTGAACTAAATGCTAATTCTAAAGAATGTGGTCAGATTGAATCTGTTATATAAGACACAAGCAGTAAAAAAGAATAAAAAAGAAATATTTTCTGTTGCCTACATTGTAAAGGGTGACTTTGCTTCCACATATAAACAGAAAAATACAGTAAGGAGTTCAAGTGGGATTCAGCAGCTGGGTGAACCCTAAGACTACTTGTAGTAGCTCAGTGTGGGGACACGAATCACAACTCACAATATTTTCTAATGTGAGCTTCAGTAAATTGTCTTTGTGTACAGGTTGTGATCAGGTGACCTGCTGTGCTTTTTGGATTTACAAAGCCTAATTTAACAAGATATCAGCAGATGTTTCTAGCTAACCTGTTTACCCTGCACAAAACTACTGATAATTTTCATTTAGCATTTGAGTAACACAAATTTAATATACTTAGTTTGTTTTGCTGGACATTTCACAATATGAAACAATCCAAACACATATGTATATCTAATATGTAATTAAAAATGATGGCACTACATGTCAAATCTGCAGTTTATCAAGTATAATTGAGCGGTCCTTATCTATAAAAAAAATAAATAAGGGAGTCTCCAGAATTTTTTCATAGGGGTCGCCATCTTGGGGCAGCTAAAAAATATTGAGGTGGCATAACCAAAAACATAATTTCCATTTTTATTATGCTATTGTCAAATATAGTTTACTTGAAAAGTTTGGCAAAAAGGAGAAAGATAAAATAATAATTTGTCTAGTTAATTTCCTGCTATTAAAGGTGATACCACTGAAAATATGTACATATGAAAACCAGGTACTTGATTTTGAAATCCATAATACGTTTTAACTGACTGATCAATTGACTAGAAGTCCCAACCAACACTTTAATATTTCTCAGCAGAGCTGAGCAGAAGCAGCCTGAAGCGTCACGGTCAGCGGGAGCTGACTGTGTGCGGAGTAAGTAAACATCATTACAAAATAAAGCAAGGCGAATAGGGGCAAGTAAACTAAACTAAACTGTGAAGGACTGACTATAACAAACATGACATGAAAATAATTCTGAACATTATAAAGCAAAATAATTATACATGCAAGGAACTATGACGAGAAAACATGAACTGAGGAGAATCATGAAAATGCGTTAACCTGATGTGAGCTGGAGAGAAGGAAAACAGACGACCTGACACTGAACAAAGGAAGACAGGACTTAAATACACACAGGAGGTGATTGTGGAAGTGGAAACACATGGGGAAACAGCTGACTCAAATGAACATAATGACACCACAGGGGAAGAGTAAAACTAAACACATGGAACAAAGAAACATAAGACTTTTAAAATAAATCAGGAAACATTGAAGGATGTAAACATGACAACACAAGCTTGACAATATGGAACACACAGACATAAAACACATGACACAAAAACCAAGGACACAGATGATAGTAATTGCTGAACTGAAACTCAACTAGACCCTAAATAAGAATAACACAAGAACTTATAATCACAAACTTAACATAAGAACTCAAAAATACAGAGCGAACTGAAAATGTTGGGTCACAGACCCAGCCCCTGACATAAAGCTTCACTCTCCCAGAATGAAGTTAACTTGTCCAGGAAAGACAAATCAGTCCAAATCAAATTAGATCATGTAAGAGTGTGAAGTGTTTCCGGTCTCTATTTTGGGGGCTGGCCAGTGCAAACAATCCGGGTGATAACTGTGTGGAATCCTGTGAAACATGCTTTTTACGTTTTCTTCACAGGACTGCAAGAACAAGCATGTTTTGAATGTGATTCCTAATTAATCAAGTAGCCATGGATAACTGGAGAGGTGAAATATATTAATGCAGTTGCTGGTATTCTGGTCATCAGTGTTAATAATGAAACTGCTCCACCTATTTCTAAACAGATTTCTCCAGGGTTGGATTACAGTAAATTTGGTTCAGGTCGCATCAAATATAGTAGCTGCATTATTCAATGAACAACTCATAAAGACAAACATAATAAAACAGCAGATGGGTCATTATCTCGTCACATTATTGAACACTTGAAGGTTGTGAATGAGCGTTAGGTTAATACTTGCTGGTGTCTGTTTAGGATAATAGTTTGCCATTTCTGGACTGTGCTGTGCACACTGGGGAGAATGGAAAAGTCAGCATTTAAGTTTACCCCAAGCCCACACACACAGACCAGTATCTACTCTTTGACTCCCACCACCCTCTGGAGCACAGACATGGAGTAATCAGCACACTACAACACTGGGCAGAAAGCATTCCCACTAAGCCAGAAGGGAAATAAAAAGAACACATACATGTAAAGAAAGCTCTCAAAACACGTGGTTATCCCAAATGGGCTTTCATCAAGTCAGCAAAGATGGGTAGGAAAGAAGGTAAGGCACAAATTAGGGAGAAACAGGATGAAAAACGGAAAAGGTCACTCTTTCGAGGACGCCAATGTTCACATTTTGGACAGAGAAGGCAGATGATTTGAAAGAGGAGTGAAATAAGCCATCTATGTCCACTGTGAACAACTTGTTGAACAAATGCGGTGGCTTACAACACCAGCTGTCTGCCACCTACAGTGCAGTTTTGAGATCCCTTCCCTTAACCCCCACTCACTTCTCTTTTTTTTCAGACAACGTATTTCTCCAACTTCAAACAGGTGTACACTGCTGGCTACGCTACCTCCCTCATCTCTCTTATATCAGCTATTTTTGTCTTCACTGTCTTCAGGTAATGCTGGAGGTCTCATTGAAAAATATTAGACTCTTTTAGACTAAATGACTCTGAAATAAAATAGTATATGAACATTTATCCAAACAGATTAATTGAAGGTTCTTTTTTCTTCTACTCTTTAGGAAATTTCACTGCACCAGGAACTACATCCACATGAACTTGTTCTTCTCATTCATCCTGAGAGCGAGTGCTGTCTTTATCAAAGACGCTATCCTTTTTTCTGATGAAAACATGGACCACTGCTTTATGTCTACAGTGAGTATGTCATCTTCCATGCCCATCAAAGGCACTATATTTACTTAAGAAAACTGGCAGTAGGATTAAGGATAGTATGGTTATCTAAAAATAAACTAAAATTCAGCGTGACAAAACTATTTTACTCAAGTGAAAAACACATTAAAAACTAGGTTACAGAAAAAAACCCTCACTGAAATTATATTATGTGGTTACAAAATGAGCTAAAGTGGGAGATTGACTTAGTTTTTAGGGTTTGGAGGCATTGATGCATGTTGTTAATGATATAGATATTCCATTCTCATTAAACATATAGCTCATAGACTCCAGTTCCCCCACGACAGAGATAGATGGGGGGATATGTGGATGTGTCTATGTGTCAGTGTGTCAGCTGTTTTCAAAAGGTCTCATTTGTATTGAAGCATCAATACAGAACATTGTAAGATTGACCATTTAAAATACTTATTTTAAATATTTTAAATAGTAAAACTAATACAGAAACTTAAAAACTAAAAAAAAATGTTTGCATTTTTTTAATTATAAACTAGCTGAAACATAGCTTAACTAAAAGTAAAACCTGAAGATTGGGGTCATTACTCAAAACAAGTAATGCACTACAGCTTACACTTCACTTTTTAAAAGATTTTGTTTCTTTTGCTTATCTAGTGAAGGGTTACAAGGGTGCTCTCAAACTATGACTCTGTCCTGTCATAGTTTGAGAGGGAGGTACAACAGGCAGGTATGCAGACATCCATTCTGGGTTACATTCACCAGTCACCAGTTAGATGAGAAAACTGCAGTCCCCAGAGAGAATCCACAGAGGCACAAGGAGAAATATGCAGTCTCCACATAAAAGCGCACCACCTTGCTGGCCTTCACAGGGAAGGTTACTCCTTGTGGAAAATAATAAATTACACAACTTATTATATTTTTTATTTTGTTACTTGGCAACAGTGCCTGTGTAAATAGCAAACTAACAATAAAAATATGATATGTACACATATCATCCACTATTTCGGGACTGACCTCACTGACTGCTCTTTATGGTCCCCCTCTGATCCACTCTTGCAATAAGGAAGAACTAATGAGCATAATATCACTCCTCAGTTTTTAGAGTGCTTGGTCCCTTTTGTACTTCTGCAGCATGAATTAAACTCAATAAAAAATATAGCTTGGAACATTTTTTTCTATCCACCCAAGATGCAGATAATTAAATGATACTTAATTGTCAGTGTGGTACTTCAATTCAATTCAATTCAATTTTATATATATAGCACCAAATTACAACAACAGTCACCTCAAGGTGCTTTATATTATAAGGTATACCCTGCAGCAATACATAGAGAGAAACCCAACAATCATATGACCCCCTATGAGCAAGAGGGGCAGCTATCTGCTGCGACCAGTTGGTGTCAGAGAAGGAAGACAGAATAACAGACATGCTGTGGAAGAGAGCCAGAGATTAATAGTAAGTATGATTCAATGCAGAGAGGTCTATTAACACATAGTGAGTGAGAAAGGTGACTGAAGAAGAAATACTCAATGCATCACAGGAGTCCCCCAGCAGCCTAGAACTATTGCAGCATAACTAAGGGAGGATTCAGGGTCACCTGATCCAGCCCTAACTATGTGCATAATCAAAAAGGAAAGTTTTAAACCTGATCTTAAAAGCAGAGATTGTGTCTGTCTCCCGAATCCAACCTGGAAGCTGGTTCCACAGAAGAGGGGCCTGAAAACTGAAGGCTCTCCCTCCCATTCTACCTTTAAATACTCTAGGAAATTCTGGGTTTCTTGGACAAGTGCTCCAATTTCTACTTAAGAATATAGTTGGGGGGGAAAGGCAGTGGTCCTTTCAAAATAGCCCTTTATTTTGCCAGCACCACAATTACAATGACTTCCAAAATGTGCAACACAAGAAGTATCCATGTTTTAAAGCTATAATCAGAACTTGTCAAGTAATCTTGGAAAAAGTAACTAAACTTGGTCAATTATTTCTTCAGACTTTACATGTCAAACCTTCTCAGAAGAAACAAGACATGTTGGCAATTTAACAATGTATTAAACAAACAGGGGTCTCAGTAGCATGTGGAAGAACAATACACAGAATCAGCCTGGCACCACATCTTCATGCTGGCCACAATCTGGACACACTAAAGCAGTGGGATGGTATCGCATTCTTCAATCAGCACTTGTCACAGGTCAGCCAAATAAACAGGCTTTCCAGTGGTATGAGATTTATACCCGTTGCAACAATAAAGAAATAATAAACCAAATGCAAATTTCCTTACTTTGCATGCTGCTAATAATCCAATTTAATAGTTTTTTAATTTAATCTAACTGCACAGGTTAGATTATTGTTTCTATCCAGCCATATTCTTTTTACAATTACTAGGTAAATCTGTTGCAGGAAAAAAGGGAGATAAAATATCCATGTTTCAACTGCAAGGTTTCTTTAAACTGTAGCAATGAGTTTGGTTAGCTGTGTTTGGTTTTCTTGATATCGTCTCTGATGAGGTTAATAACTTAATATAAGAGCAGCAAGGAGCAAGACTGAAATGCTGGGAATGGCTGAGCAAAGAGCCGGTGAGAGCATAAATGTGTTTCCCTTTGTGTTTTTCTCCTGATGAGGCTGTCTGGAGTGCTGGTAAGTGTGCCTCTTGTGTCGGTATGAGGGACCAGCACCAGAACATCAGCATGACTCGTAGAAAGGCTTTGAGGCACAATGAATAGGTAATATGAAGGGAAAAAAAGCCTACTCATGACATCAACAAAAACACGGTTTAAAGAAAAATACAGTGGGCAAGGCTAGATATGGATAAGAAGATGGTTCTAGAACAGGATTCACAGTGAAATCTATCAATCAGTAATACATTATGTATTAATTACGAACTGTCCAGATGTATCAAATATCATGTACAAAAGGTTAGCAGCTAACTAGAGAAGAAAATAGAAGAAAATTACAGAAACAGGCAATGGAGAGCAAAACTAGAGCTAAAACACCTTGAATAGTTGGCATCCCTTCTGGTGGGAACTATCTAACTGAGGGTTACTCTTCAAAAACGTACAGGGAATTAGGCAACAGATTGCTAACAAGTCTAATTTAATATGCTATATGCATATAACATGCTTTTTAGCTTTCATAGTGTGAAGTAGGAAGTGGGCTCACCCAAGTATCCCAAAATTTTGTCCAACACCCGAAAGGTGACAATGACAGAGTAGCGAAAACTACAAGTAATGTTTGAAATACAGTGGGGCAAAAAAGTATTTAGTCAGCCACTGATTGTGCAAGTTCCCCCACTTAAAATGATGACAGAGGTCAGTAATTTGCACCAGAGGTACACTTCAACTGTGAGAGACAGAATGTGAAAAAAAAATCCATGAATTCACATGGTAGGATTTGTAAAGAATTTATTCGTAAATTAGGGTGGAAAATAAGTATTTGGTCACCTCAAACAAGGAAAATCTCTGGCTCTCACAGACCTGTAACGTCTTCTGTAAGAAGCTTTTCTGTCCCCCACTCGTTACCTGTATGAATGGCACCTGTTTGAACTCATCATCTGTATAAAAGACACCTGTCCACAGCCTCAAATAGTCAGACTCCAAACTCCGCCATGGCCAAGACCAAAGAGCTTTCGAAGGACACCAGGAAAAGTATTGTAGACCTGCACCAGACTGGGAAGAGTGAATCTACAATAGGCAAGCAGCTTGGTGTGAAAAAATCAACTGTGGGAGCAATCATCAGAAAATGGAAGACATACAAGACCACTGATAATCTGCCTCGATCTGGGGCTCCACGCAAGATCTCATCCCATGGGGTCAAAATGATCATGAGAACGGTGAGCAAAGATCCCAGAACCACACGGGGGGACCTGGTGAATGACCTGCAGAGAGCTGGGACCAAAGTAACAAAGGTCACCATCAGTAACACACTACAACGGCAGGGAATCAAATCCCGCAGTGCCAGATGTGTTCCGCTGCTGAAGCCAGTGCATGTCCAGGCCCGTCTGAAGTTTGCCAGAGAGCACATGGATGATACAGCAGAGGATTGGGAGAATGTCATGTGGTCAGATGAAACCAAAGTAGAACTTTTTGGTATAAACTCAACTCGTTGTGTTTGGAGGAAGAAGAATACTGAGTTGCATCCCAAGAACACCATACCTACTGTGAAGCATGGGGGTGGAAACATCATGCTATGGGGCTGTTTTTCTGCCAAGGGGACAGGACGACTGATCCGTGTTAAGGACAGAATGAATGGGGCCATGTATCGTGAGATTTTGAGCCAAAACCTCCTTCCATCAGTGAGAACTTTGAAGATGAAACGAGGCTGGGTCTTCCAACATGACAATGATCCAAAACACACCGCCTGGGCAACAAAGGAGTGGCTCCGTAAGAAGCATTTGAAAGTCCTGGAGTGGCCTAGCCAGTCTCCAGACCTCAACCCCATAGAAAATCTGTGGCGGGAGTTGAAAGTCCGTGTTGCTCGGCGACAGCCCCAAAACATCACTGCTCTCGAGAAGATCTGCATGGAGGAATGGGCCAAAATACCAGCTACTGTGTGTGCAAACCTGGTAAAGATCTATAGTAAACGTTTGACCTCTGTTATTGCCAACAAAGGTTATGTTACAAAGTATTGAGTTGTATTTTTGTTATTGACCAAATACTTATTTTCCACCCTGATTTACGAATAAATTCTTTACAAATCCTACCATGTGGATTCATGGATTTTTTTTTCACATTCTGTCTCTCACGGTTGAAGTGTACCTCTGGTGCAAATTACTGACCTCTGTCATCATTTTAAGTGGGGGAACTTGCACAATCGGTGGCTGACTAAATACTTTTTTGCCCCACTGTATTACTGTTTCTGTTGCACAAATTAATCTTTTAAGATGTTTATAGGCAAGAAGGTAGATGTGTAAACTTCAAATATCTGTTCGATTTATCAAGACATGGTGTAAAAGTGCTCCAGTGTTTTCAGATAAGTCCCTTCCTGCTGGTCTAACAGCTAACTTGCTCCACCAGCTGTCAACTGACCAGAAGGTCAAGGCTCACTATACCCAACGAGAACGCTTATTTCAGGGACATCGTTTTAAGAACCCTCTGTGGCTTTCACCAATCAGTGGAAGTGAAAAGAAAGAAATAATTCACAAAGCTTCATAACCAGATTATTTAACAAATTTTAAGGATTACATAAGCACATAGGCTTTATGGAGTGTGATTTCTGCAACACTCAAAAGCCAACAACTCTGTGATGCATTGAGTGTTTCATCCCAGATGCCATGCTCCCCAAACACCATTTTGGCTGCCAGCTGTTTCAGAGTTCTGACATTTAGCGCACAGCAACAGAAAAAGACAAGAATATCAAAATTATTCTGAGATATAGACAGTGTACCAGTTTTGCTGGAGTTAAGGGAATCTAAATCCAATAACGTTTAGTTAAACAGTAACAGGCTTGAATATTATTTACAAGCAAAATAAATATCCCAAAGTCCTCATCTTAAGACTCAAGTATAAAATAAAGTTAATTTAATAAGTCCCTTAAGACAAAGGCAATTTATTGGTAATATAATTTATAAACTTCAATTAGCCATTAAAAGCCCGTTTCCATTTTGGAATAGCAAAAGAGCATTTACAAGAGAGTGACACGATGAATGAATTAAAATCTGTGGGAGAATTCGTCAACACCAAAAATGATGGTAGAAGTAGAACTTCGAGGTCAAAGTCAGCATGCTTTTTAAGTCGGTTCTTTTAGATTTGACAAAAGATTTTATGCATGCAGTGTGTTTTAGTGACCATTCAAATTCAATCAGATATACCATCTTAAAATGAGCAACATGACAATACATAATGTAGATGCTGCAGGTGGATTCAGATTCAGGTGAATAGTCTTTTGTGATTAGTTAATGAAACTGAAATCCCAGCTACATATGGGGGTCCCCGCTATGATGTCACTCACTTGTTGCTAAAGTCCTGTTGTTTATATATTAATGACAGTTGATGATTTATCCTTCTTTTTGATTCAAGTGGTAGCTCTGGAATGCAGCTCCATTGCTATCTCCTCTTCTTTGTAAACAACCTGCAGATTTATACAATACTCTGGCATTGCTCCCCTTCCTCAATCAGGAGGTCTAATCCCTGTTGCTCATTCATCTGCTTGTTAATAAGGAAGTTAAACCGGTCTACTACTTGAGTCCTCTCACTCTTTTAATGGCACATGTTATACTTAGTAGGACTCAGAAATTAGTGACTGACACCATAAAGCCACCAGGAAAGTGTTTACTGAAGAAGCTAAAGGCCATTATCTTCTATACATCTTGACTTCTTTTTGCAACCGCCACCTACTGTTTATTAAAGAGGTGCAGGTTTAAGGTGAAATATGACCGTCTTGTTTGACTACCATTATAATAAACTATATTTGAACCATTCCAGAAATATTATAGTGTTAGTAAGAGGAGGATGAGACTGATCATTAATTATAATGAGTATAAATAAATACAATGCAAAACCCATGACTTCAAGCACATGTGAAAGGAAATGGATGTTTCCCTGTAACACTAAAGTCTTATGTTTTTTATAATTCTGAACATCACTGTGGCTCATAAATTGATGTTTTTTATTGTTGCTGTCCCTGTAGATAAATGAGCCCTTCAGATGAATCTGATGTTCACGAATCTTTTTGTTTTTTTGTCCCACAGACATCCTGTAAATCAGCCGTGGCCTTCTTCCAGTTCAGTATCCTGGCTAACTACTTCTGGCTCCTGGTGGAGGGCATGTACCTGCAGACACTGCTCACTCTCACATTTGTCTTCCAGAAGAAATACTTCTGGTGGTACATACTTATTGGCTGGGGTGGGTACCTCACTTGTCATCATCCCTGTCTATCATATGTCCCTGTTTCCTTTCATTTGATTTCCTGTTTTTCCTCTTGCTCCACTTTAGTTCTTTTCCTAATGATCAGGTCACTCTGTTTGTGCCTCCCAGGTCTCCCGACAGTAATCATAACAGCTTGGATTCTAACTCGAAACTTCTACGACAACAGGGGGTGAGCAACGGCTGCAGGAAATCAAGACAATATCAAATTAGAGAAAATTTAAATAACAAAAATGATAGTAACACATACTCACTCAAATAACTTTAGACTAAACATAAAATGTTAACAAAAATAACATATTTTGTGATCTAGTCTTTGTGGCAAAAAAAGGCTTTTTGATAATATATTCATTTGTACAGTAATTCACACCCACAGTGCTGTACAAAACTCTCGAGGATGACTCATTTCTTTATTTTTTGCAATGAAAGCAGGAAATAGTTGGAGAAAGTTATTGGAACATGTTTGAATACAAGTGAAAACACAGTATACAAGGAAAAATTAACAAGTTTGTACAATTCTAATGAACTTGAAAGTGAATATTTGCTATGACTTTGTTCTTTAGCATTGAAACCTCTTTGGCAAGTGTTCTTGTAATTTTTTTTGACTTCAGGATTAGTTTTCCGGGATTCTTTGAGAACACTCCAAAGTTCTTCTTCGGAAATTGACTGCTTTTGCATTCTCTGTCACCTAAATTAGAGCGTCCACCATGTTTTACAAATGACTGTAGATACTCCCCTGACCTCCTCTTTATGGAAATATGATGATTCATCACTACACTAATATTGACAGTTTCAGTGCAGTCCTTGTGCCATTGTGCATACCTGTCTTTTCTCCTGGTTCTGTTCCTTAAGAATGGCTACCAACATTCAACTGAGACCATTTCTGGTGAATCTTCAGTTAACAGCAGATGGCTCAACTGAAGGGGCTGATGCTTTTCTCACATCCTGTGTCAGGCTAGTAACAAATTATCTAAAGGGGAAGCTTATCTAAGGTTTAATTCAATTCAGTTTTATTTATATAGCACCAAGTCACAACACCAGTTGACTAAATGTACTTTATATTGCAAGGTAAAAACCCTACAACGATACAGAGAAAACCCAACAATCAGATGACACAAGCAAACACTTTGTGACAGTAGGAAGGAAAAACTCCCTCCTAACATTATTGAATCTCTGCTAAAACCAGGCTCAGGGAGGGAGAGCCATCTGCAGCAATAGGTTGGGTTGAGGAGGTTAAAACGGGACAAAAGACACACTGTGGATAGTGTAAAAAAGCAAATAGGGTGTCTGTCTCTCCATTTGTAATATAACATTGATTTTTGCAAAGTTGTCTGTTATATGTAAACACAACACTAGTTCTTCCCATAAATTATGTGTATTTTTATACCTGTATGATTCATGTTAGTAGGAAGTGGCTTAACAAACAAAAAAAAATATTTTGAAGATGGCCAGGACTGCAGTCAATACCACCTTCACAAATGACATTATTATAAGAAAATCTGGTTCCTTGGAAGCAAACTATGAAGAAATGTGGAGTGGCTCAAGATATTTGCACAGTACTAAAAATGTATTAGCTTATTACTATTGGTTTTAAGCTTAATATATATTGTTGATTGTTCAAAGATACTATAAACAGCCTTGTAAGCCAGTGGTAACACACATTTCTGCCTGTTGTGTGTCTCAGGTGCTGGGATGACACAGATGTGGCCTTTATCTGGTGGATCATAAAAGCTCCAATAACGGCATCACTACTGGTGAGTACAGTAAAAGTGGGAGCCATTGCTGGATTATCAGAGTCCTCAATCTTGGCACAGTCCTGCATTTTGACTCTGTGGCTGCTATTGCAGACACTTATCTTGTCTTCACACTAGGAGCGACAATAACAAGTCAGGGAGAGTTGAGTCATATTCTACCTGGTCAATGCACAGAAGGTCAACAGAAATGACTAAATCAGAATCTCTCTGGTTTTCCTGCTATTGTGTTATGTTTGTTTCATTAAGACTATTATTACAGCTCTCATATCCCTCCTGACTCTAGAATTTATTATATTATATGTTCATATTATAACTTTTTCTCTCTGCAGTGTTAAAAAGTGCCTTTACACTGTGGTACTTGTTTCAGTTTATTGCATCATATGTTGGTGTGTGTATATGTGTGTTTACAGTGGGGGTACAAATTCTCAATTCTTACTCATATAATTTGCCCTTGACTTGCCACTGAAGGGAATCACGTCTAGATTCCAAACCTCTCCTTGCACATGCGCAGTCACTAAAATCTTACTTGATTATTTTTCGACTTCTTTAAGGGCATCTGCTCGTGCAGTGGCTTTTTTGGTCTCTCTTTTACCGTTTCCAGCATTGCTATTTTTAGATCGCTCCATGAAAGTCAAATTCAAACCACTCATACATGTATTTTGCAATTTTACCAATGACCTTAAACTCAGTAAGTGTCAACTTCCTCACAAAAATGGATTTTGGCCATCATAATTGGTGATAAACAGTAAATCTTGATCCAGAAACCAAACAGTTGTCAATGAAAGACTCTACAGCAGGGGTCCCCAATTCCAGTCCACGAGGGCCGGTATCCCTGCAGGTTTTAGGTGTGTCCTTGATCCATCACAGCTGATTTAAATGGCTAAATGACCTCCTCAACATGTCTTGAAGTTCTCCAGAGGCCTGGTAATGAACTAATCATGTGATTCAGGTGTGTTGACCCAGGGTTAGATCTAAAACCTGCAGGGACACCGGTCCTCGTGGACTGGGATTGGGGACCCCTGCTCTACAGTGTCCAAAGGTGGTGCATCTGGGATATTCAGCAGAAATGTTTCATTATTTGGTTGCTCTTGTGTGAATGGGAAACAGCTGGAGCTGAGACTGGTGAGTGGCAGCTTGGTGTCTGCAGTGGGGCTGGCTGTCTGGAGCAGCAGTTGAGGGTATGTAAGGGATGAGACTGAATTGAACTCTGGTGAATAAGGCCGGATGGGATTAATTGACTACAATTGTCTTTCCATCTGGGTCATGGAGATACACATGCTTGAAACTGTTCGAGACTGCAGCATTTTAGGACAGCTGGAAATGATTCCTACTAGCTGACAAACCCACTGAGAGAGGCTTGTCCACAGATTTTTAAACTGGGGAGGAAATCCTAAAGATCCTCATATCTCCCCAGAGATCTTCTGGGTCCATGTTTAGTGCCAATGTTTTGTCATAAATTTCAACGTTTTTGACTAAAATGCAGACATATGAAGACAGGCAAACAAGCCTTTACTTTAGCTGAGAAGCAAAAAATTCACTGGGAGAATAAACAAAATCCAGAACTGGCAAGAAATATGCAGGAGAGAATAACAGACACTGACAGAAAGGACCAATAAGAAGACAGCGCTATGTATACACAGAAGGACAATCAGGGAAAGGGGATACAGCTGGGAAAAACAGGTGCAGACAATCAAGACAACCAGACAGCAGGGAATGTAACAGTAAATGCAAACCACTACAGACAAGTACAGCTACCAAAATAAAACAGGAAGAGAGAATGATAGCTAAATGAGGAAATCCTGACACATGAATGAACTAAATCTAGGGGCATTTATATGAGTGTAAAACAGAATAACTTGAACTAAACACTTAAAACAGAAAATACTAAGGAATAATACATCCATGTAGAGACGGGTGGATGAAGCGCTGTGAAACTTTGAGGCTTCTTCCTGATTGTACTGAAAAAACAGGCAAAGCTTCAAAGTCTCAAAGGCAGATACTACTAGTATCTGTCTACATCTAGTGCTCATGTGCAATTATAACAGCCACAAATTTCCAAATGATTCACACAATTCAGTGATTCCAGTTCCAAAACAAAAGAGATAAATTAAATCTTAAGAATCAGAATACTTTATTAATCCATAGGGAAATTGTGTGGGTTACAGTTGCTCCAAGACAGTAACAGTAACAGACTAAACTATTTAAACAATACAATATGTTACAGATTTTGCAAATTTAAGAAATAGCACCAATATATAAAAATCACTCAATTATAAATATCAAGGATTAACAGGGGTGGTTATAAATAGATATCAAGAATATTGACAAGAATATTACAGAGTAGAAAAGAGCATATGCAAAAAGGGTGTAACTATTGCTGTGTTTACAGTGTATTCGATGGAGGAGTTCTGCAGGGAGACGGCCAGGAATGATTTCCTGTGTCGTTCAGCAGCATCTTCCTTCTAAGAATTATTGACCACACATGAAACTGCTACAACATTTTGAAATGTCAAGTTGCTAATAAAATGTTTAACACTGGAACCACGATGGAGTCATTTGAACCCGTAGGAATTAATGCAACACCACTTTTCCAGGATGCTGGGTTGACTAGCAAAACTTACTGTTCAGAGACATTTTGACATAAAGACTCACAAGATTTTTTTTTAAATATATATATATAAGAGGTTGTAATTAGATAAAAGATTAATAATTAGGCTACTGCAGGCCTGAATGGGTAGTACAAAAACATGATTTCCTGCATTTAACTGTTGTAAATTACTTATTTATTACTTATCAAACCCGTCAAACATCCTCTCATGAATGATATCGAGTCATTTTGAGGTGAAAGAGCATTCCTCTCACAGGGTAGAAGCTGCAATCAATTTAGGCAAAGTCAGTTTTTTAATATTCTTTGTTTATCCAGGTATAATTCAATTCAATTCAATTCAATAAAACTTTATTGATCCTGAAGGTTGACCCCGAAGGAAATTGGGTTAAGGCTGCCAACCTTTGCCAGCGCCGACTTACCCTTCTGACCATACATACATTACACAAACATCACATGGGGAAGACAGGTCAGAGAGGTATAACAATGGAAAATGCACCACATGAGGAAAGATAAGCAGAAAAAAAATAACTCCCCTCAGACTGAGCTCCAATAGGGAGATCAGTTTGAGAACAGAAAAAAACACCTCTGCACATAGCACATGAAAAAAACTCTAAATACGCCAAAGAAACACATGACAAGCAACAGGGGTGGGTAAAAGGTGAGAGACAGCCGACTTAGACAGTACATCCGGGCCTGCACCCTTTGCGCTGGTCTCCATGATCCACCATCAGCATCGGAAGGGAATAAGCGTCGAAGGCGTTTGGAAAGGGAGGGGGGATGAGTGTGTGCATATCAGTGTATATGTATGTGTGTGTGTGTCCAGAGTTCAGCTGAGACAGTGTCCTTCGCCCTGCCAGGCTAAGTAAACAGTCTTTCAGCCAACCCAGGTGGCCTTGCATGGAATGGGAAGGAACAGTCTAAACACAGTCGTTATCAGGGTGTTTTTTGTTCGGCTCCAGCCTTGCAACTGCAGCTGGCGCAGAGAGGGTATCCACATGAAGTGATGGTGCTTTTTACTTTAGTGCGAACAACTCATATGAATTTCAAAGCTGTTCTAACAGTCCAACACTGGTCTCTCAATCTCCTGTTGGAGAGCCTTGAGCTTTCTATGATGTTATCCAAACTTACGTTCCGTGATGTTGTCATTCTTTTTGCTCAAAGAGCAGGTTCTGAGAACTCACGACCGCAGTGCACTTCCCCAAGATGTGATCGAATTTGCGCTCAAAGGTGTTATTCGAGCTAGTCCCTCAAGATGTAATCCAGTAAATGCTTAATGGAATTAAAAATGTCTTTTTCAAAAGAAATCTGTCCTCAAAGGCAGCAGAAATTACAATAATTATGCCACTGTGAAGTGGCTTAAAGGGACTAGATTGATTATAATGTAGCTCGCACAATAGGTAAAAGGCAGAGTTATGAAGATGCTGGTAAAACAGGTATTTTTTTTACAGGCTAACCCCTTGATAACTTCTGCTGGCTACAGGCATAATAAACATATCAAAGTTTTTAGACATAACAAAGTAAGTATGAGTTGTTAAAACCAATAATCAATCAATAATTGATCTTTTTTAAAATTCAAAAAGAAATTAGATGGAAATAGTCAGGATGATCCCACCTGGCAAATCTAGTGTTTAATGTGTCGTCCTGTTATCAGGCTACTTAAAACATCATTTAACCCTTGTGTGGTGTTCGTATTTTTGTTACTCAGCCAGTGTTCATGGGTCTGGTGGACCCGCTAGAGTTTTGGCTTTCCAAATTAACACTATCAAACAATTTTATGTTAAATTACTCAACAGATGTTTACTTCATCCCAATTACAAGACATATGAACAGCAAACATGGTTAATTTTTTCCCTTTACCTTTGTTAGATCACATTTATGAATTAATGTGCTTCTCGTTTTTCTTTTATATAAAATGTTATAAATAAATCAGTTATAATCAAGTGGAGTGAGTGGAAAGACACAACACATTTACACGTGAAAAAATAATTAATTGTTTAATTTTTCTTTTGAAAAAACTGAACACGGGTCTCACAGACCCAAACACCATACAAGGGTTAAATTGTTATGACAGGTTTGTACTGTGAAGTAAGATGATAAGTATTTCAACATCAGTGTTTTGGAGGTATGATTGAAGGTTTTTGGCAACTTTTAATGCCACAAAAGATCTGTTGCAACACTACAAAGCAGGGAAGGTACACCAAACATTTTGCATTTCCCTAAAACAAATGAAACAATGTTAAAGAGTTGAACCCATCACCTCACTTCCAGTGTTCCACTGTGACGTATGAAGCCTCAAGCATTATCTGTCATATGGTCACAGAGATTTGATTCAAGCCTCAACACAGTGTTTTGGACCAGTCTGCTTCAACAGAGTGAAACAAGCCTCGGGCTAAGAGCCAAATGTTCCATCTCTAGTTAAATGTTAACAATATTCTGACAGATTACTAATTTGGTGCTTCCCACTTGTTTCATGTAGGTGAACTTCATGATCTTCATCAACGTAATCCGTATTCTGGTCCAGAAGCTTAGGTCTCCTGGTGTTGGTGGCAATGATACCAGTCACTTCAAGTGAGACAGAATAAATGCTGCTGCGTGTGAATGCATAAACAACAAATATAAAGTCACAAGGGATTGTGAATCTGCATGTGTAGAATGTGTCTGTGTTTTGCATGTGTGTGTGCAGGAGGCTGGCGAAGTCCACGCTGCTGCTCATCCCACTGTTCGGGATGCATTACATGGTGTTTGCCTTCCTGCCAGAAAACACAGGGACAGAGGCACGCATCTTCATAGAGCTCGGTGTGGGTTCCTTCCAGGTAGAACCGAAAATACACATCAACATATAAAGGTAAAAAAGAATAAATATGTGTCATGAAAGCATAAGTAATACTTTTGAATACTATTTCTCTACTCTCAAGGGCTTTGTGGTGGCACTGCTCTACTGTTTCTTGAATGGTGAGGTAAGTAAAGTAAATACTAAACAACATTAGGAGATGTAATGCCTCGACTATTTCATAGTCATATATAGTCTGACTGTAGATTTTTCTTTCATTTAAAAGGTTCATAAAACTGCACAGATGATGCAAATCAAAGATAAAATACACAAAACAGTGCTGCAGTACGGCAACCTTAATTAAATGTAATAATAATAATAATGGATTGGATTTATATAGCGCTTTTCTAGGCACCCAAAATATCACTATTCATTCACTCTCACATTCATACACTGGTGGAGGCAGCTACAGTTGTAGCCACAGCTGCCCTGGGGCAGACTGACAGAAGCGAGGCTGCCATATCGTGCCATCGGCCCCTCTGGCCAACACCAGTAGGCAAGTAGGGTAAAGTGTCTTGCCCAAGGACACAACGACCAGGACAGAGAGCCCAGGGATCGAACCGGCGACCTTCCGGTTACAGATGCGATTCCCAACCCCCTGTGCCACGGTCGTAGAAAGTTTATTAAAGATTCAGTATTCTGAAGTAGGGTTGGTGGAATCAATATCAAGTCAATCCTGAAGGAATCTAGCTTTTAGTGGAATTACCAGCACAATCTCTCTATGTGCTCCATTTTTTGCTTCTTTTTGCCCTTCCCCCCGACAGCCTGTCGCAGTCAATAACTACCACCCCCCAAACCTAGTTCTGCCAGAGTTCAATAAACAAAGATCACTTGGATCACTTGGAAGAATTGAACATTATCATGTTCAATTCTTCCAATCCTATTGAGATAAAGAGATGAATGTATTTGGCCAACAGACTCCGGTGGCCCATCATGGCAGTGACAGGATTTAGGACAGGACCCCTGGGAATCTAGACGCTGGTGGTGGTGAAAATGAAGGTTGATCCTTTAAACTATGCAACATGGAGGCTGATTGGTCCAAAGAAGGCAGGCAAGAAGATGATTGGAGTAGAGTAATGATAACAGTACTGAGTTTGAGTTAGTTAAATTTACCCTTTTAAATTTTTCATATTTATTTCCTATCTTATTCATAGCCTTTTCCTTTTTTTTTTTCTTTAGGTCACGAGCAGTTGTCTAAGCATTTGACTGCATATCGTACTGTGTATGACTGTGTACGTGACAAATAAAATTTGAATTTGAATTTGAATTTGACAGTGTAGAAAAGCAGGGATGTAAAGAACAGAAAAGCAGCCTTACATCAGCGAAAGCAGGAGGAAGACTGATTACAGATTGTTGAATGCACAAGCTTAATTTCTTCCTTTCCAAGTGCCACTCAAGGGATTCTCTGCTGTATTACATAAAATGTCACTATATTACAATTACTGTAACTGTTGTGTTGTATAAATAAAACTGAAGGGAATTGAATAAACTAATAAGATGTCAGGAACCTCACAATCTATAGGCACCTGAACAATGAGAACTATTTAGAGATGCCATTTAATCATCGTGCTTAGAAAAGCACTAATCAGATTAAAGCACCTGAGTAGCAACAAGAAAGACTTGTAGTGTTTTGAAATAATTACTTTTTGTTTTACTATCTCTTACTAGATGAGGCATATTTAACAAAATGTGCATACTGGAAAGGCTAAAATTGGTTTAGTTTAGTTCTCTTTTATATGGTAGAGAAAAAAACACTTGGAAAGCTTCATGCAGGTACATTGTGTATTTCCTGCTTCTAAAAACAGTTATTTGGAATGTATGTTTTCCATCTTGATTTCAGGTGCAGGCTGAGCTCAAGAAGAGGTTTTGGAAGTGGCAGACTCAGAGTTACCTGAGCTACAGTAAACGACGGCGCACCCTGTTCACTGAAAGCAGCACAATCACTCAGATATCTGTCCTGGACAAATCTAGCCCAAAAGATAAGCCAGGCTCTGAGACACACGCCCTCACCAATACCGTCACACACAGCAACGTCTCGGCTGTGTGAAAAACAGCCGACAGCACGTAGTTGTCCTTTTCTACACCTGCCTGGTTAGCAGAGACTAAATCACAGAGCCTGATTGTTGAACGTTTAAGGTACCTCCTAATTTGTATGCTACATTTTTTTTTAGAAGTGTGGGACTTGTAGGCTTACCGTACACTAAGTCTAATTTGAGTTCAGCTCATTAATTCATAACATCCTATACATCATTTCACATTAAACCTTTCTCCATGATGACACTAGATATCATGTTGGCAGAACAAGAGGTCATTTGTTTTTTGTTTTTTTCAGATTTTGTTTTTATGCTCCGGGGCCCCTCCTCCACATCTTACTCACAACCACCAAATTTTTTTCTTGCCTTGTTTATCACAAAACCATGTCTTGAACTGCTCAGTTTTGTGGGTGACTGTTTTAGTATTTAGCTTTCATTCTCATTATTTTCTTCCAACCTGCTCTTAAAAGGAAATGGGCAAAAATAAATAAATACATATGTATTCATTGTTGTCTCAAGCAGGCACCAGACAGACAGTTTTAAATGTATAATTACAGGCGAATCAATTTTAAACCTTTCTGAAAATTGTATCACTCCTTTTTGCTTAGTTGTTAGTGGTTGTCCAGTATTGATAAATCTATTTATTGATTAGAAAACATGAATTAAACTGATCCTGTTACGCTCATTTCTAGCTCCATAATTTTATATTTGGAGAATACTAGAATAGCTTTGCATGACAGTTCAAAACAATCCTTATTGTTTTATACTGGGCTTTAGTGCTGTCCATCCACTGTTTGAAACAAGCTCCTTCCTCCTTTTATCTGATTGGTTCTCCCCTAACAGCAGATGATCATATTTGGGAGATCTCCTGCAGCCAGTGACCTCGTTGTGACCATTCAACACTGTAACAGTTTAGTATATGAAAAAAAGGAAAAGCAGAATAAAATAAAATAAAATAAAACAGATATACAGAGCATACGTAGTTTTTAAAACAGGTTAGTGAGAGAGAGAAAAGAAGATGAAAACAGGGTAAGGATGAAACGACCATGTACTTTTTACTAAATATTCTTCTGTTTGCTAATTCTAAGGTGAGCACAGCTCATGAATGAGTTTTCTTTCTCAGTCTCCAGACTTTACCAAAGCCCTGTACATACAATAGTTAGTTTTTAAATCACTGCTGAAGTAAACAATAACACATGTTAATTAGACTAGATAGTTATAAACTATATATAAATGCTGGACATAGCTTTGGGGTATAAAAGTGATGCCAGTGCAAAAGTGCCTTACATTTGGGATTTTTCACGGCCAGTAGGGGGCAACTCCTCTGGTTGCAAAAAGTCTTGAGAGAATGACGCTTAATTCAATTCAATTCAATTCAGTTTTATTTATCACCTAAGGTGGTTAATATATTTTAATGTAGACTTTACAATAATAAATAAATTAGCTCCCTCTTGGGGCACTTTATGCACTGACTCGGTAGTTTCAGCTCACAATGATTAAAATATAAAGTTAATTTTGTTCAAGTTTGTCATTGTCAGCGTCAGAAAAAAGACTTATTCTGGAAGCGGCTTGTCAGTCACTGGTATCCTTGATTTCATTTCTGAGCTAAGTCGTCAGTGAAACATCAAGATGGCAACAGTAAAATTGCTCAACTTGAAGCTTAATAGGACTTCAGTAACCAGTGGGTGTTGTTGTGGTGGCTGTGTACATGTCTTATATACAGTCTCTGGTGATGACAGATTAAGTAAGAGACACAAAGGATTTCTGTATTGAAGTACAGCCTGAAATTATTTTAAAAAGTGATTTTATTTATTATGTTTAAATACAATAAGCCAGCATGCAACTACCGAACACTGCTGTTCCCCAATGTTCCCTAATGTTCCCATCACAATCGTACAAGGATACATAAATTCAAATTTTATTAAGACTTAAAACACTGGCCACTTTCTCAGAAGACATTAGGCAGCTGTTCAGATTTTTCATTTTGATTTAAACTATCCAACAATAATCATCACATTGAAATTTAGATGCAACTTAGTAACCAGACTAGCAAGCTAACACTGATAGTAGCTGATTACAGAGCTCTGGCTAATGTTAGAGTCTTTTTTCTTGGCAGTAAAAAACACTTGCTCCCTCAGCAGCTTCACGTTCCCAATTTAGTCATAGCCAGTTATATTTGCTGTTACACATGACATGCGGTGCTGCTTGTAAAAATGAAAACTCTGGGGAAATGTTCACAAAAGACACTACTCTAGTTGCAGACACTTTTGACACCTCTAGACCTGAGGCTAGTTTTTCATGTACTAAATACAAATAAAGAGTTCCTTGCCCACAGATCAGAAGAGGACCTAAACATGTGTTCCCTAAAAATTCATGGAAGCAGATTTTGTAGGGGTACAATTTCTCAGTCTCAAAATTATTAAAAAAAAATAATTTTTTGAATATAAAATAGATCCTCAATCAGATGATTTTTTGTTGTTTTTTGGTTTTTTTGGTACCTTCAACTTAAATTATGTCTGTGATTAAACGGGATGTAAAAGAAAAGTCTAAAAGGTCCCACATACATGTTCACTGTGGCATTTAAGAGCTCTAGTGAACAGTGATTAATGGCATGTTGAATGTTGGGTATTGTATTGTAATCAAGTTTCAGAGAGACAGGCTGATACACATTACACATTGCACAGTGCACTTGTGCACATCTGGAGCACTACACTGTAAAATCTATTTATTGTGAAATTATTGTTTTAATGTCTCTGTGTGAATGTAAATAGACTTCAAATAGAGTTTACATATATTTTATGATCTTGCAGTTCGACTTACAGATTTGTACAACCACCACATTAAATGACCTTCTTATCATAGTAAATAAAAGATAGTTAAAATGTTTAAAATTCCCAAGTTGATGTTTATTCAGTTATATTCAGTTTTGTTTATACAGCACCAAAGCACAACCGACGCCTCAAGGAGCTTTATATTGTAAGGTAGACCCTACAATTATACATACAGTGTACATTCAGCATTTTTTGTATCATACTGTACATACATGTAACTTACTTTTATTCTTATATACTGTAATATTACAAAATGTTGAAAATGAAAAAGAAGTGTTTGTGTACATGTTCCTATTTATTAGCATAGGTTCAGATAAGTCTAGTTACTAATTACTAAGCTAATGCTAATGCCAACACTGATCCAGAACCTCTTTCCTCTAATAAAGAATTTTGATTGATAGGCTGCTTTTACCATGTTAACTGAGTACTGATGTGGTATCACTCTGTCTTTTGACACAATAGGAATTACGCATGTATGTAGACTGCATACTGCATACACAGATATGTACATGTGTATACATTTCAAGTGTGGTCCATGAAAGACATATAACCTTAATCAGCTACTTACCAGGATAGTGCCTTTTCTCATGCGGTATAGCTCGATGTTTCCCAGCAGTTCAGCTGGACTGTAGGTTTGCATCCAAACTCTGTGTAATCCAGTAAGACTGTGATACTGTACCACATGCTTTTGGCTTTTGCTGAGCTATGTGATAAATGTGTTGCTCTGTTGAAAATTGTATAATTAGGAAGTTAATTTTTATTGTAATGAGGGAAAAAAAGCTATGTATGTTGTGTGGACCTTGCAGTTTAGATTGTTTTCATTTACATTGTAGGAATTGGACAATGCCCCCCCCCATTTTACTTTCTGCTTTGGTCTTTGCTTCTACAGGGAGGAGATACATAAGCATACGGCTGGCTTTTAATCAAGCATAGCATTAGTTCACAAAGTGAAGCTCTGCCGCAGGCCCAGTAGATCAGCTGGACTGAGTGTCAGCTCACATCAGCTGATGGCTCAGCTGATATTCGTTTACACGTCCAACTGATAATGAAGAGCAAATTATTTCAACTGTACTTCATTTCATTTTTTTTTTTTAAATAGCACCTATTAACCACAATACTCATCTCAGGGGACTATTGTAGTATATCTTATACTTGCTTGCTGCTTAATGTCGTGTAACAAACAGAGTCATACTACTAAATATAAACATGTAGTAAATGTGCAGAAAGAAATATTATTCTTTTGATGACAATGGACCTCCCTGAAATATTATTAAGTATAATTTTGGTGGTGTCTTTGGCCCTAAATACTAATCCTACAGGAAATGTTGGGTAATGTATAAAAAACTCCATAAAAGAGGGCTGGTGCCACCCTCTGACCCCTCTGGATGTTGCCCTGATTAAATCCTAGAGTGCTCAGTTGTTATATGAACAGCAGTCTTTTAAAAAATAATAATAGTATTTCAAAGATTTACATCTTTGAAATACAAAACAGCATTAACAAACAACATTGAAACAACAAGTTAAAAACATTTATTGTTGATATTTACATGATGTACAAAAAAACCCTTCTAATGTGCACCCCCCCCCAAAAAAAAAAGAGAGATCAAATAAAAAGGAGCTGATGAGCAGACAGGAGCAGACTCATAGCAGAGATCTTGAAGTTAATTTTACATTCAGCAATCTGAATCTATGATGAGCCCCATAGCAATCAGTACAATAAAACAATTGAAGAGACAGCATATGTCAAAAAAGAAATTCATTAGAAATCAACTTTGTTGTCATGCTATACAAAAAAAACAACCCAGCAGTTTTTATGGCACTGTACCTTTCCTCATGTTTGTGAACATTAACATTCAAAGGAAAAGTATTTAATGGGTCATGATGGGACTTAAACTACAATCTGATAAAGCATTCACAGTTGAAACCCAATATCTGTGTTCTAGCTTATTAATTGCTTCACCCACTCGTCGGAGGGATTTAAAACAAGGACACAGCTCAGATTCCCTTAATGGCATGGAAGCACGACCCTCCCCTGTGATTACGTCTGCTGGTCAAATGAGATCAAAACGTTTTAAAGCGCATGCATCAGCCGATTAGAGTACAGAGGCATTACAGGAGGCTTTATACTTTTAGCAAACACAATCACCATTTACTAAAAATAAAAATATGAAAACAATCACAGCGCAGTTTTTAAATGACAGCTATTTACTTTGAACCACAAAAACTTTTTGCAAGGTACACTAGCAGCTTGTTTCTGTCTTGCACATTTACACTGCAGTTTATTTAGTCACAAAGGTTGATTACACACCTTTCAAACACTTTAACTAACTACTTCATTGTCAAAAACAACAGGTTCCTATAGTAACAGCAACATCTTTGTTTGACATCAACATAGTACTGGCAATATAAGGCTCTAACTTTAATTTTAACATTAAAGGAAATCATAAATATATGGTTTAAAACTGGACTGGTGAGATTGTCAAAATGTTTGTGATGAGCTCAACTGAAGACCCCAAGTGAACCAGAGCAGAGGTGGTGATTGACCAGCCCTTTCCCTGTATGACCCCCCTATGGCTGCTGTTGCATCTGCACTGGTATTGTTTTAGCTCAGACTAAATGCATACATAGCAGATTAGCAGGACAACACAGTTTCTGGTCAGCCCTTCTTTTCTCTCTTTGCTTTTGACTCATCTGAACTCCCAGAAAATGTGAATATTTGCAGGTCCAAAGACGCCTTAAGTTTAGGGGGGAAAATGACACTCTTACAGTTACAAATAGTATCTATGTGAATTTATTGGCTACATTTTAATATCATGTAGAGAATTTCTATGTTTATTAAGAGAACCACTGCCTGTAGTTGTAACCTCTTAACATTAACAAGACTACGCATGAATATATATAACCTAGATGTCTACTTTTTTTTAGTCATACTTTCAAATGAGCCAAAGCATTTAACCTAAACATACATTTGTTTAGGACAATGTTATCTTTACTTTAAAATATCTGTTTAAGTGATTTTAGTCCAAGTCCAAGTTATTATTATTTTTAACTTTTGGGGTTTAATATAAGGCATCTTCTTACCTGTAAATCACCAGAATGATATTTATGGTGTAAATTCAAACAGCCGATATGGAAAACAGCTCAAACTATGATAACATGCTGAACTGAGGAGATGTGGTTTTCTTTTGTTATCGGTCATAAATAATGTGTGACATACTTAGCAAAAATGCATTATGCTAATCAAAGAATTTAATCAGTTTTTGAGTTTTAAAGGTCGTGTCTGTCTTTCATATTTAATAGATAAGAGTTTATCTCCTGTAATGAAGAAAACTGTCTTATTTTTTGCAAATCCCCCAACAACAAATCAAAAAGAAAAATCATTAACCCCTTTCTTTACTGGCTCATGAGAACTTTTTCTCATATTTCTGCCATTAAGCAAAGAAAAAAAAAAAAAAACAGAAAAAAAAACAACAACCCCAAAACGGCCCACTAAATTAACCATTTATTAGTGTGTAGACGTGATGTTGTGCTGCACTGTACAATGGCCGCTATATTTAGAAGCCATTATACTGTAGCACTGCTTTACTGACAACACTAACTGGTCATGTTCTCTGTGTCTCCTTAAACATGCTTTAAGGACTTTGAAGGCCTCCGGGGTTAAAATTAGTGTGAAGCATTGTAAAAGCACTTTGTAAAACCCTTTACTTTGCAGTTTAGTTTTTCAAAAAGAAAAGACAAATCTCCTTTTATTTGAACTCATCAACAGAAGTCAAAATACTTATTTTGTGCTTAAAGGCACTTTAGGAGACACAAAGTAGAGTCAAACATGGGGTTTTAGAGGATAGCTGAGTCAGACCAAAAGGAAAAATCTGCAGTGACATCAGTTGCAATGCAAACTTGAGCATCGCAAACAGATACGGCCGTGCAAATACTCACTGAAGAGCCGATTCATTTGTCTTTGGAATGAGAAAATTACCATCTTGGTATAAGTAACATCCATCTCAGCGTACTTGTCTTTAAGCAGAATGAGCACATACAGCATCAGTAACAAAGAGCTGTTCCAAGCGAGGAGAAAACCTCATTAATCAAAATAATTCAAACAGATTTTTCAAATGGTCCTCTGTAAGGAGAAAAATACAAAGGTTTTAGCCCGAAAAAGAAGTGCTGTGATGTTTCTCATTTAGACCATTATAGTTTTATACAGTTTCCTCGTGCAATAGGCTGTGGAGGAGATACATGTAGTACATTAGCTCCACAGCAGCCTGATAAACACTAATAACCCTAAGAAAAAGAAAAAACAACATCCAAAAAACACTGAATTCTCACAAACAACCCACGTGGACAATAAATGCAGTTTCATGCAAGCAACTGAACTCATGACATTTCAGTCGTGTGCTCATTTTCATTGACATTTTCTGTACTATCGGCTGTTAAAACTACAGACCTGCTGACTACATCAGTGTCCTCTTCTTAGACTTTCTAGAGATTAAAAAAAAGGCCTGTTTGTGGTCGCATTTGCAAACCTTAGCACTGTGGACACATCTGAAGATCAACATGATACATATTTTTAACTTTAATGGCATATTACACAGAAATATGTCCATATAATAATCTAGTAAATACTGATTGGTGAAAATTTTCTGTGACAGAAGTTGTCTTCAACTACCTTTATATTGTTTTAAATCTGTCACAGCTGAGGCTGCGAATGATAATACTAAGCTTACACACAGTCACTGTTTCTGCATCGCGGGTGCTGCAGTCATTGATAGAAAAAAAGAGGATGGCTTTTTCAGTGTTTTATATGCACCGAAACAGAGGAGACAAAGAGGGATTGTTTTGAATGCGAGTATGATGCCAATGAAACTGGCCAGGTTTGCTTTAGAGTCCCTGATTCAGTCATTAACACTGATAAAGAGGCTGAAAAAGAGAAACTTTCCTCCATGTTCAGGGTATTAAATATACAGCTTCTTTTAAAAGATCACTCCTGGTGTTTAGGGTTAGGGACCCACACCAGAATAAACTGGAGTAGCAGCAGCACTTATCCTTAATTTACATGCTCAGATTGGGGCAGGCTTCACTTCCATGTGACACAAATTATTATTAATATTTATTTATTTTATTATTTTTTCAACCTCATCTTTCACACATCTCCACAGTGTGTAACACAATCGTTTTGTTAAAAAATCCAAAGTCCCAGTTGAGATAAGCGTCGGACACGGAGGACAACAGTTTGTACAAGCTAATAGGAAACTAATCTTCATATTTAAATCCAGCGGCGTGTCCCAGTAAAATATTTACATCAGAGTCACCAGTGTTTACTTTCTTCAGTTAAATCACTTTCCATGGCACAGGCGCTAGGAGATTAATTAAGGAATTAAGTGTAAAGTCATCTAAAATGTATCTTGAGAAAAGTGTGAAACCTGAAGACCAAAGTGTCCTCAGACAGACTGGAATGATCAGTGTGATGGGATACATACTGTATTGTAGAGCTATTTGGTCCCTCTGTGTTGCAAAGCAAATACTGCAACACCAGACAATTCTGAACACCAATACAATATATACAGAGAGAGCCGGCACACATGCCTTTTTAGTGGGGTTCCAGAACGGGAGAGTGAACCTACAGGCTGCACCTGAATGTGTCATTCAATTCACCTGTCATGACCTGTTTGGTCATATTTCATTGGATGTGGACTCAGACAAGTGGCTGTTCTGGGTCGCTGGAGGTGAGTTGGGTTTCCATCATGATTTCATCGGGGTACGGGTTGGGGTAGGGATTGAGGAACGGGTTGGTGAGGCTGGTCATTGGGAGGATTGTAGGTTTGGTGGCATCAGGTCCGGAGGCGGCAGTGTCGTCATCAGACTTGGCGTCCCCGAGAGCGCTGCTCAGGTGGCTGGAGTCTCGGCCTGCAGGCTGGACATGCGGATCTGCGAGCTGCTCTTGCTGAGGATGGACAGCTGCGTCCCCCCGTTCACCCCACTGCTCGCCAACGAAGGATGCCGGTGCTTCAGGTCCACAGCAAAGTACCTGTTCACCGTCCAGCTGCGCCATTTCCTCTTGATCTCCGATTGCACCTTGAGGGATATACTTCACAAGGTCATTATTAATGGACCTCGCTGGAAAGAGACAAGCTCAGTGCCTTCAGGCTCTACATTTCTGAGTGGACTGTAAACAGTCATTTTCTTGTACCAGAAAATGCAGTCTCATGGTTTTACATCTACACACAGTTAAATTAGTCATGCATTCTATTCTAAGAAAGTGCTGAGCTCCAAAAAAAAGTTTCTACTAAAGGGATGAAAATGCGAATGTGCCAGACTCCCTTTACCCCTCGTATTTTTTACAACCTGTTAAACTGAAGAAAGTGTATGTAAGACACACAACATCTTTAAAATTATAAGGGCACGCTGAGACAATGTTTTCTGCTGAGGTCAGTGCTCACTTTCACAATTCATAGCTAAGGAAAAGTCTCTTCATGAACTAATTAATAATGATAAAGTTACAATTAAAAAATATTGTTCAGTACAACATTTTTCTACACTGGGTCATAGTGTTGCTGCCACATTAGCTGTTACACTGTGTTGCTACATTATGTTGTAGACTTCATCTATTTATTCTCCTCTAACACACAGTGTTTACCTGCTGTTGGTTTACCATTATGTCATGTCATTTATTTATCAAACTTTATTATTACTGTCCTTTTTTATTTAATACTTTTTAAAATTTATATGTTCCTTTTTTTATCCTTTATTTATGTAGTTTTCAGAACTGCAAAGTGTTTGTGTAAGAGCATTTTGATTGGCATCAAACTCTAGACAGACCATGGTGTGCTGCAGAAAGGTGACATAATTCATTTAAAAAAATAAGAATATTAATAGTAAAAATGTTTTGACTGTAAATGATATTTTTTTCACTTCAAATTGAATTCTTTAAATATTGACTTAATTAGGAAATATCTGGTGGAGACCCCAAAAATAAAGTGCATTTCTGTTCAATGCAGAGATTCATAACTCAAACCTCAGATCTCATGTATAAATATTTGGATTGAGAGATTATGTGCTGTTATAAAGTACTTTAATAACACCAATGTGTTGTGGTGATAGCTTGCTATAAAAAAGACTTACCTCTCCATTCAGGAAGCAGTAGAGGACGGCCACCACAAAGCCCTGAAGAAACACAGAAAGTCAGAGCATGAGACAAAGAGACTAACTCATCTAAAGTGAACACGATGCAGTCAAGAATCCTTCTGCTTGACTTTAACCATTAATGTGGCAGTTTCAGCTCAGGATGGATGGCTGAATATGCAGGGTGAATAAGTCACGCTGCAAGATGCTGCCTTCTAGTGGAGGTTTATAAATGTTGCTAGCAAAAATTATGTTCTAAATTTTGACTTTGGATTTGAAAATAAATGTAAAAAAATGTTTAGACCTACTTTGCTCATTTCCAGCTCCAGATTTTAATTCTTTGACACTACTAGATCAGAATTTTGTAACTTAAGACTTCAAATTATTAATTATTATTAATTATCTTACTGGGCCTTGAAGCATCCCCTCAGTTCACCCTCTGTGTGAAACAAGTTGTTTTAGCTTCCTTCTCACTTTCTTTAAGTCAAATTTATTCTGACTGGCTGCCACCCATAAAGAAAAAGTTTGAATAGGGGGTGGGCAGAGGTTCTGTGCTAATATTAAGGATGTTGTCTCCCTATAAATACAGATCATAAACAACAACAACAACAGCTATAAAAACAGATCAAAGAGTAGAAAGAAACTGATGCACTGCCACAATATAGACTGAAAGTTTTTTTCTGAAAATGTAGGCATTATCCTTGCCTACATTAGGCTATGCAGGAGAAATAATTACCTGGAAGGATCCGAGCCCAAGCTCAAATACCAGACGTTCCCTCTTGCTGACATTCTCAGGAGAGAAGGCGAACACAGTGTAGTGGATCCCGAACAGAGGAATCAGCAGCAGAGTGGAGCGTGCCAACCTCCTGTAAAGCAAACGCATGAAACACACTCATCATCATCACCATCACAATGAGAGAGCTGTTCTACCAATGTGTCAGTCCTCATACACAGAAGACTAAATTTACAGTAGGGCATATATGCATGAGGATAAATATGCCATTTCAAGGTTTCAAGGTTTTAAATTCAATCAGTAACATATCTGTAACTTATATATCTATAACTAAACACTTTCCCCCACAATCAGATCAGCGTGAGCTCTGAAAAAGCTGGCAAATCAGAACTTTAACTTGGAGAATAAATAATAGGGTTCCAGGAATCATGGAGCTTAACCCAAGCTCCCACAAGGCTCCAGCTTCCTCCCATAGTGCAAAGGCATGCATGTTACATTGACTGTAGGCATGAATGTGAGTGTGAATGGTGATAGCCCTGTGATAGACTGCTCAAAGCTCCAGTGCCCCTGAAATGTAAGGATGGACAGCTGGACTACATAGTCATCCATATGTATTCAGATCTATCCACAAATGGGTCTGTGACACTGGGGTTACTATTGTATATAGTGAGGTGACTAAATGTAGTCAAGTAAAAAGTGAAATATGTTCTACAAAAATGGAAAGACAAAGTTAAAGTTTTAAGATGCAGAAATACTGAATTTGTCTCCAAAATACCTCAATTTTTTAAAAGTAAATGCTAATAATAATGTGCTAATAATGTGTTTTCATTAACAGTGAAGCAAACTGCATGACAATTCCAAAACTTATAGATAGGGAGAAACGCTCTCCTTATTGGGTAAAAAGTACTTGTTGTTAATTAATTACACAATGAAACACTTGTTATGTTTTAGCACTGATCACAAAATGGTATAAAATTATGTTAAATACACAAATAAGATATTAAACACATTCAAAACAAAATGCATTTACATCTTAACTCATCTAATAAGAAACTTTATGTTAATGTCAAGTACTTACAGGTAAATACTGGATTCATTTCCACCAATATCTGGAGATTGTAACTTCTGAACCAGGATGATGATGATGCCAATGAACAGCACAAAGTTAACCTGTAGAATAAACCAGTTGTATAAAAGTAATACAAATATACTTGACAAAAGAAAGACTGTGTTTTTGCATCCTGGCTTCTCACCATAATTGAAGCCAGCACAGGTCCTTTTATCACCCACCAGATGGCAGCATGGTCATTCATGTCCCAGCAGCTAAGAGTGCAGATGATAAAATGAAATGTTCAGCACATATGCAACAAAAACATGAGACTCTACTTACAGTGTTATTCATAACTCACCCTATATCATCAAAGTGCAGCCTCAGCACTGCCCAGATGGTCACACACACCGTCGGGGTCCCTGAAACCAACATCACCAAGTAAACAACATGACATTTGGAAATATGAATACAACGACAGCATGGCATGTAAGACATCTCACCCCAGCCTATTATGATGTACCAATAGAAGTATCTTTTCTCAGGGAAGAAGGTCTCCACTAGTAACGTGAAGAGATAGAGACCCTCGATGAAGAGCCAGAAGTAGTTAGAAAGAACACAGTAGTGGAAGAATATCATCACCGCTCGACACTCCAGCTTCAAGAAAAGACAGATAAAAGCAACGTGCAAGAGAGTGTCAGCAAAGGTGCCACAAACCATCACCAGCATGAGTACAGCCTGCTTTACTGGCACATGTGCAGCTTGTTTTACTCACAGTGTGTATGAAGCAGTGCTCGCTGTCCTCTTTTGCATACAACACGCCGTCTTTGATGAAGACAGAAATAGCTCTTAAGATGAATGACACAAAGAGGTTCATGTGGATGAAGTTCCTGGTACAGTGCAGCTTCCTGTGTGAAGGAATAAATGTGAACACTCTGGATAAAAATTGATTATTTTGTAACTAATATTTTCTTTTCCCTGATAAACACACACAAGTGCTGTTCTGCAAAACACTGATTCACTGTTAACACATAGACAGGATACCAGTGTTAGAAGCATAAGTACTACTACTTCTGCCACATTAATTAGTGTCCATAGCCACTTGAGGCTGGCTCCAAAAGCATATCAGTCTCCAGAGACTTCCATAGGAAAATGTCCAAAAGGTAATACCAGTAATATGACCAATTTGGGTTTTTCTAAATCTGAAGTTAGGGGCGTGGCCATTTTGACTGTGAACCACTGAACTGGACCTCTCTGCTGTATTTGGAAACATTTTAATGGCATTATCTGATAATTAATATGGACTGCTAAGCAGAACAGACTACTCAAATAGTTTGTGCTTCAGTGTTGGTGAGTGAAATTTCAGTGTTTATTGTAGTGCGATAATAAAGACCTATTGGCAGGTATCTGCGTGTTTAACCTGTGGAGTTTATGGATGCCGTATCTTTTATATACAGTCAAGTCTGTCAGATCCTCACACTAACAATTTGTACCAACTTCATAAACTGAGCATCCACAGGCTGACTCATAAATGGCACAGAAAGATTCCATTACAAAGACGAGGTCCTTAGTACTCTTTACTTCACCTGTCAGTGGTTTTGATCTTGTAGCAGATGCATTTCATCTGGTTTAAAGTCAGTCTTATCTCCTATAAGACGTACAGTATTTCTCACCTGAACCTGCACAGGATGACCATGGCTGTGGTTAGAGAGACCAGAGAGGTGCTGTAGCCCACAGTGTACAGAGCTTTCACTGACACGTAATACATGTCCTACAATGGTGATAGAGACACAGAGCATTTCATGTAGAAAATGTCAAATACAACTGTGCATTAAACACAGTTGCAGATGCTGAGGTGCTGTTTAACTCACAGGGTGGGTGCTGTTTCCTTCCTCGTACAGGCAGGCATCAAGATAGTGGGGAAAGGGCTCCGACCAACCAAACTGAGTGCAATTGCGGCTAACCTTTCCCAATTCTGCAGACACAGAGCCCTTTACTTACTTACAGTAAACACGCCAAACACACCAATGTAATTCTACAGCAGTAGAGCTGTCTGAAATATAAAGATAAATGTATAGAAACAGACCGTAGTCTTCTTCACTCATAAACTGAGAGAAGAGTTCAGGACAGTTGACCTCAACCACCTCCCCGAGCCTGGCAGGCTGCCAACATGTCAGATTGTCCCAAAACCACGGGCAATCTGGGGACACGACGGGGAGAAAAGCTCAGTGCTCAAGTCCAAAAAGCCATATGTTCATTTCATATCACTGCTACTATATCAAATTACATTTTGACCAGGTACCTTTTCTTTGTTTCCATCTAATTGGTCTTTGGACTAAATAAATCAATTATCAGACTACTACATGATGATAGTAGTAAAAAATAGTCTTTGCTGTTGCATCTTTTTCTACAACACTTTTATACAGGGATCGGTTTGCATCAGAAATCAAGGAGCAAGTCTCATAGATTTGTAACCTTTTAATTTGTTATTCTGTTTGAGTGTATTTACATGTCACTCTAAATTAGACACAGTTTTAAAGGATAACTGGAAAACAACTGGATATTTTAGCTTTAACTATAACTAATAATTTGTTGTGTAGTTACATTGGTGAGGTATGCCCTAATTTGATGATGTGGTGTGTTTGATGTCAAACATTCCAACGAAAAACACTAAAAAGCTGTGTTGAAAAGCTACCAAATAATTTGTCCCTGGTCAAAAACATATTTTTTTCTTCTGTGTCATAAAATATGATAGTGACAAGCCATCTTTTAGATTTATTGTGGGATTCTGCTGCCATTTTGTCCAGCATATATATATATATATATATATATATATATATATATATATATATATATATTTATTAGGGGTGCAACGATATTCGTATCGATATTGAACCGTTCGATACAGTGCTTTCGGTTCGGTACGCATATGTATTGAACAATACAACATTTGTAATTTATTTTATCAACTTTCCTTCTGACGATGCTGTCTGTGTTGAGCGCTCAGTGAATCTGCGTTCGACTACTCCGCCTAGGCTGCACTGTCGAGCGCAGATCCACTGAGCGCTCAACACAGACAGCATAGTCAGAAGGAAGAGCGCAGGGCAAGCTAGCAAGACAGAAGTTAAGCTCTCCTTGCAAGATGGACCTCCCCCACTCTCATTCAGATCTGGCGTTTGGAATTATTTTGGTTTTCATGTGACGTATGACCCTGAAGGTAAGCGAGTCATGGACTAAAGTAAAACAGTATGTTGGATGTGCCACGCAATGCTCAATTACATGGGTGGGAACTAGTGTGTTAGCGCAGTTAGCTCGTTAACGTGTTTGCCGTCTAGCCCCATGCACGGGGCGATCGGCGGTAGCTCGTTAACGGAGATTTGCCGTGTTGTGGCGTTAAGGTCATTTCAACGAGATTAACCTGAAAGCACTAGTGGGAACACAACGAATATGACTGCACATTTACGCCGACATCATCCTAGTGCAAAGACAAAAACAACAAGCATGCTACTAACTTTAGCCGAGTCATTTAGACAGCTGTTAGCACATGATTCTCCTTATGCTGCTGAGAATATAGCCCAGAAGAAGCGGATAGTATAGCTTTTATTTTGGAAAGAGACATTTCTCTGTAATAAACTCTCTTTTCCAAAGATGAGTGATTCCTCAATCAGATACAGGGCTCGCAAAATCACTAGCCCGACGTCCTGGGGCTAGCGATTTTTTCAGTCGGGCTACCAAAATCTATCTCTTCCCTGCCCGTCGGGCTATTGTAGGAAGGAAAAATATATGTCAATGCTTTTGCATTCTTTCAGAAATGTAGCTGGGTAATTATGTCATTGGCATCGGTGAGCCACTGTCAATATGTGACATATTGAAATCGCGTTTGAATTTGCGCTTGTTTTTTGCTTTCACTTTGCAATCGCGCGAACTGTGTATAGAGAGCGACAGCACTGATCTGTGAGTGATGATAATTTGTGCACCAATTCCTCTGACATCGTCTTATTAATCGTTAGCTTACTATGCAAACATGACAAGTGAAATCTCCCGCAGCAAGCTTAAACATGTGAGAGGCTGATCGCGCAGAGAATCGCTGAGCTTATGTGAGTGCGTGTGTAAAAGCAGCAGGATATATATTTTAGTTCTGCTGAGCCAAATAAGACAGGTCAGGGTGAAGAAGTGACAGCCAAAGAAAAGCTTACCACAAAACGGAGAAGTTATGACAAATCAGACTATAAGGCAAAAAGAAAGTGCAGCTTTATGGTTTCATGGACAAAAGAATTTCTGTTGCTGTAATATGACGAGCTAAATAACCAGGGCTGCACATAAGTGGTCCGCAGGTGCGCATTCGCTGTCAAAATAAAAAACACGCACAAGGGTTAGGGTTAAATTTAAAAACTGTACTTTTGAGTTAAAATATATATTTATAATTTTAATAAATGACAAATTAAAAAGGCATGAACATTTTTTTTGTATCGAAAAAATATCGAACCGTGACACCAAAGTATCGAACCGAACCGAACCGTGACTTTTGTGTATCGTTGCACCCCTAATATATATATATATGTATATATATACTGTTCCATGATTTGTCCCATTGCAATTAGGGAAGTTCTACAAAAACAGACTTATTTCAATTAAACTCTCGATTTAAACCCCGCAAAATGTGCTTTTTAAAAAAGGTATTCACAAACTAATGAAGCTCAGTGAGTAAATGTTAAGTAATTGGTCCCCATGTGTTCCACTGCCCCCTCAAAGTGAACAGTGGGCAGTGAACCAACATAAAGAACGGTTCTTTAAACAGAGCAACTGCACAACAACACCCTGGCTTGAATTATAATCAATCAATCAACTCAGCCATTCAACTTCTGCTCCAGATGCTCTCCTTTTAGTGTTAATTTAGTGTTGCATTTTGAATGTCTAAAGCTCACTTAAAACAGACCTTGAGTTAGAAATGGAGAGATGCCTGCAGAAAGCATGTAAAGTGGTACATCAGGTTTAAATTCTGTTTTTAGGACATTGTTGTTAGTGGTTGTTGTGACTGTTTTTTGCAAATAGTACAATGGGCTCTATATTCCATGCTTATATTATCATTAAAGTTTTAATATTAGCACTGGTCTGAAGTTCTGTGGTACTGGTTACATAGTTTGCTTTTGTGTTTTGAAGCCAATTTCATGATGACAACAGCTTCTAGCTCATCTCAGTTCAGTGCAATTGCCATTTCTTTGTGTGTTTCAATTGCCCGAGTGATTTTCTTCTGTGCTGCCCCTCCCTTAGGCCAGTTCTGCCAGAGGTTTCTTCTTCATGGGTGTAACATGTTCCAAAGTAATCTGTTATTTTAATCAGTGAAATACTTGAAATACTGAATTATTTCTATGATTTCTAGTGCCATCACATGCAGCTAATGAAATGAAACATCATCTGGGTAGTGTAGGAAGGGTTGAAAAAATTTATATGGACTAAGTCTACCTAAAGACCAGTTGAATTAACATTTGCTAGAAGGCAGTAGGTTAACAGTCCAGGAATGTCAAAAACATCTTCCTGCCCTAGATTTAACAATACATTCTGCAGACTAGTAGACAGACAGCACAGACCATTAGGAAATGGGGGGTGAATCAGGATCTAACAACGTAGTCTAAGCACTGCTTTAATCAGTGAGCTTTCCTGTCAGAGATTATTAAACCTGCAGTTGTAAAAAATTGGTGCACATATACATTAATGATATGGTTATATATGTGTGTCTGTTAAACCGACTCTTTGTATTTGACAGTGAATTTGTCCCAAAAAGTGAACATGTTTTGTTTCTCAAATTCAACTACTGCTGAAATGTTTGTAATATGCCAAGAAACCATGATATTACAATTTAAAATCTATACACGCAAACACCAAAAACAACTGCTAGACTCCCACAACCCACATGAAAAAGATATATATAAATCTTATAAAGTTTGTCTTGTGTGAAACTTGTATGAAAAGCATACAAGAGTGAAAACAGATACAAGAACCCTTGAAAAATTATATAAATTAAACTTGTATGTTTTGGATACTTACTAAAACAACATATGAAAGTAATGAGAAAGTGGCCACTTTAATGAGTGAATCATATAAGTTTTTACTATTTCTTTTCCATATGGGAATGGTTGTACAATAGTTGGAAAGTATTTAAGTAGCTAATGTTAGTTTACTCTGTAAGATTATCTAAATTCTAGCACCACAAAAAAGTTTTTAACAACACATAACAAATGTTTTTTTATTAAAGGTCTGTGGAGACAAAATAAAAGGCAAGGCTGGATATATATGACAAAGGGTTGTTGAATATGGAACAGTTCGCCGTTAGTTTCTGACAGTGAGAGTTAAGTCAGAAACTAAGGTCACAAAGGAGAACTGACACAAGTTGCCCATAGTTTTAATATTCCCTTCATTCATCATCTAATCAGCCAGAGAGACAGCTGTCACTCACCGATCAACTTTCATTTTCAGAATCATCATCACAAGACACTAACAACTAAAGCACGTGCCCTTGCTCCAAAAATACAGTCTTCCTGTGGCCTCATTAGTTATCCGATGCTTCAAATCAAGCACAGAGGCTATGAACTGTGAGGTTCGTTTTTTAAAAAACATTTTCCAAGGATCAGGTGAGTCATCTACAGTTTGTGGAGTTATCACCAGCTCATTAGCACGAAGAATCCAAAGATGCTTCTGTTTTAATACAAGTTTATCATGAAGGCAACAAAGACTCACCAAATTCTTGATTGTTGGAATCCAAGGCCATCATTTCCATGCATTTCTCCTGCTCCATCTTGATCACACAGTTAGAGGGGACCTGTTGGCTTGAAATCTAGAAGACAATACACACCCACACAGGGACACACACACATACAGAGAGTGTGTGTGTGAGTGAGAGAGAGAGAGTCAAGCAGCTAAAGAGCACATAGAAAAGATTCAAAGGCAAAGTGCTTGGTTGCTTCATTAGCCACTCATGTGCTTCAATCTACTGTGGGAGAGGTCTAAGTCCTGGGATCTGTCTGAAATCCCAACCAATTAAACTAATCATTTCAGAGCTGCTGGCTCTCTCTCCATTCTAACTGACCCACAGGACGACATTATTCCAATGAAAACAAGTCAGGAAAGATGAGCCTTTTTCACACCACACGTTGCCAAGCTTTAGTCCCATCTGTTCTGAACCACAGACATGAAGTTTATAATTGTGCTCTCCAGACATCCAGACACGGATGACTGCATGGCTACGACTGCAGACATGGAGGTTATGACCAGGGGCACATCATTTACAGCCCCTATGGTGAGGATCAAGGTATGAACATGTCTCTGTGCTGGCGTCAGTCCAGGAGACTCCACGTGTTAGCTTCAAGAGGAATATTAATCTGCTGAATAACATGGATAAGCTTCAAACATCTGGCATACACTGAGTGCAGTTTGTTAATAAATATTTATTATTTGATGTAATGATTTAACATAAATATTATTTTTTAAAAATGTTGTAGCTTAATTTACCAGGTAGCATAATTGGTTTGAAATAATTTTCAGTTTCATGTATCTTAAACCTTTCCTTTATACAGCTTGTCCATTGTTTGATTGCATCCTTTTCAGGCCATCATGTCTATAGAGCAAAGCTGAAGCTGGTGTTCTTTAATCAGAAGGAACAAACTGTCACTTGTCAGTAGGACGATTCTGAAAACAAACTGTAAGCCTATTAAAAATACAATTCTTTGACCTTGACTGAAAATGAAGATGGGGATTTCTCAGATATATACACAGGTGTACATGGATGTAATAATTAGAGCTAACTTGCATTTGAATGTTCATGAGTCACTGGTTTGCAGGTATTCAGACATCAGGACAGAGGCAAGTAAACACTGTTTAAGCTTTCAAATGGTAAATGATGACTTGAAAGAAGAGTGTTGGTGATTTGCAGTATGTGAATATTAATGAAACCAAGTTAAATAAGGAGAGATCACTTGGAAGAACCCAACATGATTTATTGAGATAGAGATAGATAGAAATGAATTTATTTGGCAATTAGACTCCGATGACCCATCATGGCAGTATGGAATCCCAGCAGTGATAGGATTTAGGACAGTACTCTGTGGAGTCTAGAGATTGGTGGTGAAGATGAAGACTGAGGTTTGGATGGAGCTCTGACTGAGGTGTCTGTGAGGTGGAGATGGGAAGGAGGTGGGTTGCACGAATGACAGCCTGAAAGGGAGAACGACGGAGAGCACAAATTTAAATCATGTAAAGTGGAGGCTGACAGGCTCGAAGAAGGCTTGCAAGAAGATGACTGGACTAGAGTAATGACGTCAGTGTTGAGACTGACAGTGTGGGAAAGCAGTAGACATGTACACAGAAAAGCAGGGACAGAAGGCAGATGAGTGATTAAAGATCTTCCTCATTGAACTTAAGCATATGCTTCATTTTTGATGATGTAAGTACTAATAGTGCACTGCATGTACACCCACAAAATTTTCAGACCTTATCTTGTAATTATGAGATGATGTACAATGGACTAATGAGCCAATAAATATAATTATCCCAGTAATTTGGATAATCAGGCTTTGTGATTTATAGATTTGGTCAAAAATCATTTACTATATAGATAGATTTGCAAACTAAAGTACATTTCAAGTAAAGGAAATTGAAACCACTTGGTTAAAATGTCAAGAACATCCACTCATGTGTTTCAATTAGTGTCTGTTTAACTCAGATTAAAGTTGCTGAAAATTACATCCATTAATCAAAAGTAGAGATCTATTCTAGTAAAACAAATGGAAACACTTGTATTGGGCATTTTGGCTACAGATACATTTCAGCTGTTGCTAAATATAGCAAACCTTTGTGTATTGATAAATCACACAATTGGATAACAATTGTTGATTCTCTGTGTTTTAGATTTAGCATCTAACTAAAATATGATGTTTTTATTTTCATTCATGTAGACATTAAACTGACTGCATTGGCTTGCAGTAGGGACGTGATTGAAATGTGGGCTGTGAATTTTATTAAACTCTGAGGTGTAGAAAAACATCCACCCTGACGAGTTCCACATTCTGCTTTTAGATTTTAGATTTTAGACTTTGGGACTGCTCTCTAAGTGCATATGAGACTAAGTCATAGGAAGCAGAGGTATTAAAATGATAAGTGGCTTGAGAGGCAAAGACATACAGTGTATTCGGCTTCCTCTGTTTATGTCTCTGCTCTGTAACCTCCTGTGGTTATATCATATCTGTCTGCCCTTGGTCACACTGCATCAGATCAGCATCAAATATTAGTATGTTGCTTGTCTGACTAAACTTGATCGTGGGTTTTTATTCTTATTTCAGTAGATTGTTATGTGAATCTTACAACAGCTCAGAATGAAGTTGAACTAGTTTACAGGTTTTTCCCATCAAAAAACTAAATAATTGGGGGGGAGGGATAAATAGGGATTTGTTTTAAATCCCTATTTTACAGATTACTTATTTTATTTATTTTAAATTAACCAAAGAGATTTTTATTCTTTATTAAATAATTATTAAATATTATTTATTTATTAAACACACCTAAATACCTCCCTCACATTTTCTCAGTTTAGACATTTTTCATACGTTTTCTGTGTGCTATTGTGAATAAAATATGGGTTTATAAGTTTTGCAAATTCATTTTATTCAGTTTTTATTTTCACTTTACACGGAATTGCAACTTTTTGGGAATTGGGGTTGTCATCCAGGGAGTGTCTCCATTCTTTTACCAGCTCCAGCAGAAAAACACGTTGACAAGGAGAGATTTCTTTGAAGGTCAGACACTTTCTAAAGACTCATCTTAATAATTCTGAAACAAGAGCTAGCTTATAATTTAAACCTGTGTTTGAGAGACTGCATTTTAAAAAGGCATGTAATATTATTAATGATGTTAATAATGATAATAATTTATTAATGATGCATTAAGAACAGAGACAATTAAACATGAATTGTCTCAGGAAGGATTGTGAATGAATTGTGAGTTGGGAATGGATTTGTATTGTGTTAATGCTAGGCGCTGTCTGTATTCTTCTCTGGCGGAAAAAGGACATGTCAACCTTTAAATCCTGTATTTGTATTCCATATGTCCTTAGTGCCAGATGAAGGGTTTTGAACAGACTTGGCAACCATTGCTCTGTCTTCTGTTATACAGAACAAGATGCTAAATAAATTTCCTCGTTTTTGGTTAGCACTGGTTTGTGTGGGTATATGCAGCATCGTTCACTGACTGACTTGTACAACTGAAGCACTATATTCAATCTAAAAGTTTTCACTTGCATTGTACATGTTTCTTAATAAAATATTTGAAACAGACTGATATTAAACTGAGCTTAGCAGTAGCTATCATTACAAAACATACACACTAGCAAAACAATCAAGTCATAAGACAACGGTTACTGAAGATTGCAAATGTATGATTTAGAATTAAAGGAAAGGGGACCATAAATAAAGTTGGTATATCTGGCAAGAGAGTTATTACAGTTATGATAGTTTTAACAGACAAATTGAAATATATATTATTTAAAAGCATATATATGTTAGCAAAACAACATTGGCCAGTACATTATTATATAATTCTAACAGTACCAATAACATAACACTGGTTTATGTTTACAAAGTTGCAAAGTTTAGTTTGAAAGAACTTCAAATAACTTTAAACACATACTTGGTAATTTTGTAACAATTGTAAATTATTTTGGATATCCACACAAGGTAGTAGCTTTATCATGATACAGGATACAAGGCCTGTTGAGTCTGTGTTTTGTCCCATCATCCTCCCCTCACCACCAACTAGTTCTGGCAAATGACTGGCCCTCCATGACCCCGGTCCTGTTAAAAGTGTGCTTTTCCTTCCCACTGTTGCCAAGTGCTCACATATACCCAGTGCTGGGAAGGTTACTTTTAAAATGTATTCCAGTACAGATTACAGAATACATGCCCCAAAATGTATTTTGTAACGTGTTGTCAATGAGAGTAATGTATTCTGAATACTTTGGATTACTTAATATATTACCATGCTTTTTACAACTACATGAATGTACTATTGCTGTGTGATTTATTGCTTTTACTGAAGGTTATTCGTCATAGCAATGCCAACTAGATTTTTAAATCTTAATATAAAATGAGTAACAGGGTGGACATTAGGTGAGGCTGCACTTTTTTCAGTGATCTCGTATAGAAAACTATTCCGCTCCTATATAAAACAGGTCCGCAGCTCCGAACCGTAAAGGTGTAAAACCGTAAAGGGACCTCTGGCTAATACGTCAGGTTCTGTGTCGGGCTCGTAGCCAAAAACTAGCTTTACTTTGTTGTCTGGGTCAACTTTGCTAGTGAGAGACAGAGAGAGGCGTTGAAAGGCTCCAACGGAACTTATTGTTTCAGAGGAAAACACGAACACAGTGTACAGTTGAGTCTTAAAAGCTTTCTTACAGCTGGGCTCGTCAGGCACTGTTTTTGGCTGCAGTGGTTATTATTATATTTACATGCTTCCAGCTCCCGTTTCTGCCCCGTGACAGCTTGTACTTTTCCACTCTCCTTTTTCTCCCTCCTTCGCTCACAGACACATAACAGGTATAGCAGTCCATTCTCCCTGCAGCACGGACTACTAGCACGACTAAAGACTGTAAGCTCTCCATTTATTTCCCTTCCTTCAAACACCATTCATTTTGTGTGTATGTGGGTATGAGTGATTACATACATAGTGACGATTTGTAAATATTAACTACTGTCTTCTGTGTCCCTTGACAGGAGAGGCCATTCTTTCCTCACACAGTTAACAGGCTGGAATAATGCTGAACAATCCATGAATAAATGATGAGGATACATCTTTATCCATTATTCCTGTCACATGCTGATCAATGAATTATTGATGCAGATACTCCATATGGTTATTCTAAGTAAATTAGTGTACAAGTGTGTGAAAAATCAATCTAATATGCAAACACTGCTGAAGTGAATCTCCACCTGCTGCAAACAGAATGTTTCAGAAGCACTTTGACATGAACAGTTATCCATGCTGCACACGTTTTCATAAACCCATTTATAAGACATGAGTAAAGAAATAACACTTACCGAGGGCATAAGGAAGAGTAGGGTGAGGGTCAGTGAATTGATCTTTGCACCAGACATTTTTTTTTACTTCTTAGGAGTTTCCTCTACAAAAAAAGATCCAGCACTAAACGTGATGGGATGTCACCTCACCTTGGGATCTGAAAATCACAAGTGTGGAAAAGTATGAAACAGCATGTCTACATTACATCTCATTAGTAGTTATAGACAGACACTTAGCATAGTTTTATATGATTGCTTTCAATAGAACATTGCTTTGATGAGTGGTAGAAAGACCTTTCTAAAACCTCTGAATAAAACTGAGATCTGCTAACTGTAAAGACCACACCCTAAGACATCATTTTCACCGACATGAAAAAAGCCACTGACCTCATGCCTCGAGGCACTGTCCACTGGTAGAGAGAATTAGCATGAGAACAGAAAAAAACTGACAAATGGACCTAATCCATAGCAGCAAAAGACCCCACACAAAGTAAAAGACCCAAAGGATACCCTTAATGCAGGAGTCAAGGGTTTAGGTTTTTACTTTAAAATAAATCCTCGATATCTGGACTTGTTTTAGTGTTAAGGTCCATTATGGCCTGTATTTGTATAGCGCTTTACTAGTCCCTAAGGACCCCAAAGCGCTTTACACAACCAGTCATCCACCCATTCACACACACACTGGTGATGGCAAGCTACATTGTAGCCACAGCCACCCTGGGGCGCACTGACAGAGGCGAGGCTGCTGAACACTGGCGCCACCGGGCCCTCTGACCATTATGTTTTACAACCATTATGTTTTTACAAAGGCAGTATTGCATGTGCACAATGCACTGTGAGTCGAGGAACTAAAGTGATTTCACTTCACTGCACATTTCTAATGTGTATGCCAAGAATAAAGGAAATATAGAGTTTATGGCTGTGATTTTTTGTTTGTTGAAAGGAAACAAGACAAGTGATAGTAAGGTGTTCCCCATTTCACTAATTTGTGCCTCCTCATATCCTCTATCCTCTGATGAATTTATCCCTGGATTGAATGGTAATTTGAATTGAAGACGGCTTGTCAGATAATGCATGTATGAAGGATTACAGTGAATCCAGAAAGTATTCACAGTAGTTCACTTGTTCAGCGTCCATGTAACCTGAGCCCTATTTCAATGTGGATTAAATTAATTTTTCATCTCAAAGTTCTACACACAAATTGAGATTCTTGCAAATTTCTTGGAAGAATTTCTTGCAAATTTAGCAAAACAAAACAAAAAATTCCCTTCCCGGGCAGTCAATCCTTCAAGCTCGGGTCCTCTACCAGAGGCCTGGGAGCTTGAGGGTCCTGCGCAGTATCTTAGCTGTTCCCAGGACTGCGCTCTTCTGGACAGAGATCTCCGATGTTGTTCCCGGGATCTGCTGGAGCCACTCGCCTAGCTTGGGAGTCACCACACCTAGTGCTCCGATTACCACGGGGACCACTGTTACCTTCACCCTCCACATCTTCTCGAGCTCTTCGCTCAGCCCTTGGTATTTCTCAAGTTCCTTGTGTTCTTTCTTCCTGATATTGCTGTCATTCGGAACCGCTAGATCTATCGCTACAGCCGTCCTCGTCTGTTTGTCTACCACCACTATGTCCAGTTGGTTAGCCACCACCATTTTGTCCGTCTGTATCTGCAAGTCCCACAGGATCTTAGCTCGGTCATTCTCCCATTTTGACCTCAGGATTTCCAGGCCATACTTGGCACAGATGTTTCAGTACACTATGCCGGCCACTTGGTTATGGTGTTCCATGTATGCCTTGCCTGCTAGCATCTTTCACCCTGCTGTTATGTGCTGGATGGTCTCAGGAGCATCTTTACACAGCCTGCACCTGGCGTCTTACCTGGTGTGATAGACCCCAGCCTCTATGGATCTTGTGCTCAGAGCTTGTTCCTGTGCTGCCATGATGAGTGCCTCTGTGCTGTCTTTCAGTCCAGCTGTCCATCCACTGATAGGATTTCTGGATATCAGCCACCTCCTCTATCTGCCGGTCGTACATACCATGCAGGGGCCTGTCCATCCATGATGGTGCCTCTTCTAGCTCCTCTTTCTTGGGTTTCTGCTGCCTGAGGTATTCACTGAGTCCGTTAGGGCCATCTTCCTGATTTATTCATGGATGTTCGCTACCTCATCCTGGACCGTGGTGCTGACGGCCACCAGTCCCCGGCCTCCTTCCTTCCACTTAGCATGCAGCCTCAGAGAGCTGGACTTGGGGTGAAACCCTCCATGCATGGTCAGGAGCTTTCTTGTATTGATGTCAGCAGCTTCTATCTCCTCCTTTGGCCAGCCTATTACCCCAGCAGGGTACCTGATAATGGGCAGGGCCAAAGTGTTTATAGCCCAGATCTTGTTCTTGCCATTCAGCTGACTCCTCAGGACTTGCCTGGTACTTGGTGGTTGCACCTTTCCTACCTGCCTCTTCATTGTTCCCATTTGCCTGTGGGATCCCATGGTACTTGTAACCAATGTTCCCTCTAATTTTTCATGTGTCTGAGCGAAAACACAAACTCCCTGAGCGGTCTCTTGAACCACTGTGAGCAACAGCAGACGTGTGCACGCCAGCATCGAATCTATCCAAGTTACATGGTTTATTAAAATAAGCAAATTACAGCATTTACATTTATGTTAGACTACTTTTAATTAACTGCTTTAGCACACTTACAATGAAAATTAAAAACAAATCTTGTTCAGGACCTGTGTAGTATGTTAACACTATTGGAAGTAAAAAATAACTTGAACTGCAATTTTGAAAACACAACTTTCTTGTTTTTTTTCTTTTTTCTTTTATAGAGTTCTGACTTGTATTATGAGTCTGTGGTCTGGCAGAGAGTCCTGTAACTCTTTGTCTGCAAAATACAGTATATAATGACCAATGTTGGGTAATTAATTATATAGTCACTTCTTCAATAAAGTAAGTGAGTTTTGCAAACAACAACGTTTTTTTCAGCTATTTACCTAAAAATGCAGCCAAGGCGGTTTTTTAAATAAACATTTCAAACTATTTACAGAACATTCAGCTGCTCTGCATCATCTGATGCCACACAAATTATTTGTGCCACTCCAAAAAAAAATTTCTGTCCACTATGAGATAAAGAAGAACAACAGCCTGATACCTGCAGGCCTGACAACAGGAGATGTATCACTCCTGTAACATTCAGCAGTCGCCTCATTGTTCTGACACACACAACAAAACTATTGACTACACTACACACTAACTACACAAGATTTGCGCTAAACATCGCAAATCTCTCACATCTCAAAACACCGCCGTCACTCCTAAAACTTCCCTCTTTCCTAAACAACTAAATGCCATGTTGCCATATCATTTTTTGATTGGTCCACATGGTACATTTTTCCACCAATAGGAAAGGCTGGGGGGGTTGGGAGGGGGGCTGTTTTTGCTCACAGGCGGAGAGTGCTTTTGAGCGTTTTCCTTATAAAACGCTGTTTTTACTGTTTCTTCCCACAGTAAATATAAACAATGATAGGAAAAAAACCAAGCATTGCATATATTTTTTTTATCATAACTCCAGTTTTACGTGGCCTATTAAAAACTGGTATAAAGTCCACACTCTCTTTATTTAGGCCTCCAACTTTCCCTCATCCAACGCCTGCAACTAGTCCAGAATGCCGCAGCACGCCTTTTAAGCGGCACCAGAAGACATGACCATATCACACCCACCCTCGCCAACCTTCATTGGCTCCCCGTATGTTTTTTAAAATCCTTTTATACACTTTTACAATTTTAAATAACCAGGCACCCAGCTACTTAATCGACCTCCTTGACCTATACATCCCCACGAGAGCACTCAGATCCTCTAACCAGGGGCTCTTAATGCAACCAATGTCTTGACGGAAGAGTAGGGGGATCGTGCTTTTGCTTTTACCGCACCAAAACTCTGGAACAGCTTGCCGATTGATGTCCGTGCGTCGGAATCCATCCAATCCTTTAAATCACGTTTTAAAACCCACCTGTTTAAGCTTGCCTTCCTAACAACTTAGTTTTTAACTTTTCCCCGGTCCATGCTTGTTTCCACGTCACCATCTTAAAACTGTATTTTCTTTTGCTGATAACTGTATTTTCCTGCTCCTTTACTGCTGTAACCCCACAAATGCGCCTTGTCTGTGAAGCACTTTGATGTACCTGGGTCTTTTAAATGTGCTATAGAAATAAAATTGAAACTGAAACTGAAACTTTTTTCATCAACTGTCCTGCTCACATCTCCAATGGTTGTACACGTTGTCATTAATGTGGCTTCACTCCACATCAGCCACCCCACTTTGCTAGCTAAAACACCGGTGCCGGCACATAAGAACGCTGTCATAACCTGTCAACGACGTTGATTAGGTGTGTATATAAGAATGTGAATCGCATCACTGAGGCGGTTAAGGCCTATGCAGAACAGCAGTGGGGTCAGAGCATCTCCTTGGTAGATTCCACACTTGATGGTGATTTGTGCTATGGGCTTGAAGTTGGCCTCTAGTGTTTTATGGCACATCCCCATTGAGTTCCTGATTAAGGCTCTTAGGGTCCTGTTGATCTTGTATAGTTCTAGGCATTCCAGGATCCAGGTGTGGGGCATTGAGTCATAGGCCTTCTTGTAATCAATCCAGGGATTGCACAGGTTGGTCAGCCTAGTCTTGCAATCTCATTAGTTACTTATGATGATAAAAATCTTTTGCCCATCACAGTTTGTGTGTGTGTGCAATATTAAAAAGGTAAATCTTGTAACATTACACCATGTTCTGAATTTGTAAAAAGTAATGTCACTTATATTTGAGCAGCAGTAGTTGGGGAAGGAATTATTATTGCAGTCGTGCCACATGTCGTATTAAACCGGCATTTTAAAATGAGACTGCAAGGCGAGGGTGCTTCACATAGTTCCTATTGCCTGGACTCCTCCCTACTCATGTCTCTTGAGAGTAAGATATAAGTCAGAAAGATGAGAACTGAAGATGTGGGGAATGAGAAAGGGGGTATGTTTTTACAGCTTTATTGTTGTTAAGAATGCCCAAAAGACCCATGGCTGTGTCACTGCGTTCTCAGACAAAGCTCTCAGATAAATTCTCTCAGTTGGTGAAGAGTCGTTTTCATCAAACAGACCATTTCTTCTCTTAGAAAAAATAAAGT